ACCACTGCCGGATGAATAATTTTGTTTTATAAATATTATAATAATTCATGTGATTTTACGTGTTAAATATAAAAACTGTTTACTTTTGTTTTTTAATTTTTCTTAATTTACCTACTTGCAAGATAAATTACAAACAAAAACTAGTTTTATCAACTTATCATAAACTAGATTTTACCTGCAGCTTTGCCCGCTTTTATTAGCCTATATCCGTCTCCAGGGTTCCATCTATTTCTGTATCAAAATTCATCAAAATCGGTTTTGCCATTTAGGCGTGAAGACGTAACAAACAAATAAACTCACTTTCACTTTTATAATATTAGTAAGGATGTTAAGTTACGTCCTTACTAAAAAGTTAGTTTAAGTTCAAAAATACGAAATAAAAAATCCCTTAATAACACGCTAAGAATTTCAGTGAGCGATTGTACACATGCGCCGATTGCCCCCTCTACTTTCTTCGAGCGATCTAGAACCATTGCGCGACCTGTACTACAATATAAGTATTTTATTCGCATTTTTTCACGGAGCTCTACGCTTAGAGCATTTATACCTAAATATGCTATATATGCTCCAAGGCTCTGCGGCATCTTGACTTTTCAACGGTCCGCGCATTCGTGTGAACCAACATATTGTGCTTGAGTGGAGTTCAAGCACTTCTTGATTGGGTCACATTTTGAGCGTACGTGGTGGTGTATCTAGGGTATTTAATATCGTTGTTTGCGAAACAATATCCAACTAGACACCTTAGTAAACAATCTGCTGTATTGGTTTTTTTTGATACTTCTTAGTGAGTGACCAACAGAGTACCGATACAAGTGCTTACTTCACGTTACGAATTCGATATTGGTTCATGCTAGGGGTACAGTTCTAAAGTATCTATGCCAAAAGTAAAAGAAAAGTATCTAATAGTACGGTTGCCAACCGTACGAGATTTCTCGTACAAATACGAGATTTCTGGTCTACCGTACGAGGTACGAGGACACTTCACATCTTGTACGAGATTTCGAGAATTGTTTGAGTTTATAATTTCATCCGCGACCTGTTTTCTTTCAAGAAAGATTTAAGTGTAGTAGTGCTGAAAATAATCTCTTGATGGCGTTGTAATTTGATAATATAATCAAATTGCCCAGGCCGAGCAATCTACTGAGTCCCGGGATATCGCATGGAATAGGTGCCAAGAATTCAAAAAACAAACGGTTATATTACATGACTTTATAAATTATTAGTAATATATTGCGGCGCTATCTAGAAAAACCTTTAGCTCTTTCACTAAATATAACCACGCCATCTAACTTAGACCATTAAACCACTGGACTAAGTACGCGCCTAATTTTACTCAGTGCAAAGTCTGTCACTTTTTGAGGGGGACGAGGTAAACCACTACATTGAAATAAACTCACCAGCCTTAGTTATTTGTATTGTTACAATCGCCTACATATATATTTTTTCACCTACGCACACTAATGACAATCACAAGTAATCGTAACTAGGGTAAGTTCAGTATCGATATTTTATTTTTATTTAAATAACAATATCGATAGTTTTACTTGTTCTCAAAGATTATTTTATAAAATAAAAATATGACAACGGAAAAAATAAGTCCGGGTCTTTTAATACTCTCACTGGCACAATTACCCAATCACTTATAAATTTTTGCTTAACTTAAAAAATCGTTTCGTGGGAGAAAACCTAAAATGTCATTTGTTTTATGTATTTAAGTGCATTTCTTTTTATCTGTCAAACAGTCGTTTCAACATAGGTACAGTCTTGTCCATAAAATGTGTGTTAAATTTAACGATTTCGGCAATAAAAAAATATTGCTACTGTAAGTGTAGATGGCCAGAGGTAAATTAAAATGAAATAAAAATACTTTAAGACATTAGATTAAAACTTTTATTGAAAAAAGTACAACATGAACTCAAATAATCTTCTACACTCATTTTTATTTAACATTATTATGATTATCTCTTATCTAATAGACAAGTCCGTCCGTCCGTCCGTGGTGCTGTTTCAGCGGCCAAACCGTAAGAGATAGGTATAGAGAATGTTTAAGTTATAAGTTAAGAATAGTCTGATAAGACTACAAACCGGATGTGAGTAACGTAGCACTTCTGGTTTTCGAGAAATCACGTAATTTCTATTTCAAACGAAACCACACAAAATCTCCGAAGTTCTCAATTAATTAAATACATTTTTTTTTTGGTGAACATTTGGTTCACTGGTTTGCTAGTTACAATTATTCTCAGTGGTACAAGAACTGTTTCAACGTTTGGCGAAAAAAAAAAAATTACTCCTTTGCAGCGGTATGGCGGCCATTGGGAACTGTCGGAAAAGTATGGCAAGGTGATTTTCGTGAATGGCTACTCGACGATGATTAGCTGTGCAAAAATTAGCCTGGTACAAATGGTTGCATTGTTTTATTTAAATTAATGTATTCGCGTCGGTATGGCGGGCTGTAAGTCACACCCGAGAAGTATGGCATTACGCTACCGCCTACTTCTTTTTTTCGACTATCTGAAAATATAAGCATTTTTGTGGAACAAATCGTTCGACACTCGTTATTTATCCGACGCGTTCGATTAACGCCCACGCGATTGGGCCGCCGGTGCGAGCGCTATGACCATCATTTTCTTTTTTGCCTTTACGTAATTAGACCCCTGAAGAACCGCCATACTGGTACAAATGATCAAGTATTTTGTGTCATCATCTCCCGGTCTATTACATGCTTAAAAACAAAAGAAAACAAAAAATTATGTATTATTAATATCTAACTTATTGATTTTTAAAATGTATTAATTTTGAGTAAATGTGTCTTATGCATTCAAAAAAACAAAAAACCATTATATCGATATTATTTTTTCAATTTTATTTCCCATCACTTAAAAGTCGTAAATAAATAGTCTCGCTACACTCAATTCAAGTTATAAAAAAATTATTTCGAATCTTAAATGCGGGGCCTAAGGCCGAAACTTGATAATTAAAAAATGTAGTCTCGTGGGGAGTGCGTTTGCAAGTCTCGTGGGGAGCATGCAATAGAGACTATGTATATTCGCCAATAAATAGTTAAGGTCACTAAAATGGACTCTATTCTTTAAGTATAAGGTATAAAATCATATGAATATGTTTCGGCACATATTCGAATTGGATCTCACTCGATTACTTGCAAGTTTCTATTCTCGTTTAATTGTCAAATTCATTTTTAATTGAAAAAAAAGCACTAAAATATAGAAAAAACACTTACATGTGAAATGATATCCCGTCTTTTTGTAAATTAGAGGTGTTTGATATTTTTTGCACGTTAAAACGGCACAGGTTAGCATTTGCTGTTGTCACAACGATAACGATTCTCACACTGTGGAAATCTATCGATTGTAAGTAGTTTTTATGAACGCACAGGATCATTTGATCTTATACCTTGACAGAGGGAAAAGATCTTGCGAGGCTAGTCCTGTGGTTTAATGGTCTAAACCATCTAACGACATACATTTTAATTGTAATCGGGTTGTTGGACACTACCAAATTGTATCGCAGTGTTGCCAACTTAGTTGATTTTACACTAAAACTGGTGGTTTCAGCCTCCTTTTTAGTGTAGCGTATTTTAGGAGTTATATAGAGTTTTTAAGGAAACCGCCGATGCTTATGATATTCCTACAGCCAATACCGAGAATTTATACAGAGCTCTTATCGAGTCATTAACCAGCCGTTATATCCCATTCTTATTGTTATATCACACTCGGCCCACTTGTGTGCCAGCGAAGTTTTTAAACAGAGCTACCTGAAGGTATAGAACAACTTGCTCGAGATATATATATATTGAAAAAAAGAATGTACGAGTTTCGAAAGCTAAAATACGAGATTTTTAGCTGCTTATGTACGAGGAAAAAAAATCTAAGGTTGGCAACCCTGTCTGGCAGGGGTGTACACTTAAAAATATGTCGATTCATGTATTCGATATAAAATATCGGAAAGAGATATCAATGTTTTTCGACATATCGATGGAAAATATCGATATTTTTTCAATATCGAATATTTTTCACAAGTTTCATTTACTATGAGTATTACTTTTATAGAATTATAAATACTACGAAGACGGTGATGAGATAATTTTTATTTAGGTAAGTGAAACACTAAAAATTCATCGTCTAAATATTTTATTACAATAATACCCATTTAAGACCAATGTTCTTTAGGTAGATTTTGTAGGGATAAAAGTTTACTTAGTCTTTTCATTCTGTTTTTTTTGTTGGTTGACTATTTGAACAGCCTTTGAAAATAACTTTTTAGACATAGAACGCGCGACTACAGCGCCGCGTCGGCGTTCCATCTTTCGTGAGCCGGTTAATACAGCATGCGAATTATTATAATGCGACGTAAAAAAAAATGCACTTTTTTAAAATTTGGTCGGATAGCCAACGAATTAATTAAACGAAGTCGAAAAGCAGTACGCTTGTCACTGTGACGGGGTAAGAGCGCGTGGGTGTTGTACGGTGTGTTTGCATGCTTGCTTGTGTTAATGCGTTTCGTGTATTGGTTTAATGTGCATATAAAATAGTTAAAAGTATGTATATAAAATCAATGAACTTTTAAGTACGCCTGGATCACGAGTATATTAACTCCAGACAGTCCTAAGCTTGTAAAGTTCGAAGGAAAGTTCAATGACTATTATAAAATGTTTATTATAAAATCTAAATTCAATTGAAAATCTTTCGTTTTTAATGCTAATCAATTCATTAGGTTTAAAAAAACTTTTTAATAAAAATTTCATTAACAAGAAGAAAAAACGCAATAAAACACTTTAACACATTAAAAACGACAATTAACTTTTCACGCTTTTTTAAACGATATACCTAAACGAAAACACAACACAACGTCGCGCTTTTTACGCATGCTTTTAAACGTTTAAGCCAATAAGCGTTTAAACGAAAAAGCTTTTTTTCAAGCGCGCTTATTTTAAAAAGTACAACGTTTAAACGCTTTTAAGAAATAAGCCGTTTTTTCCATCTCTAGTCGTTTCATCCCTAGTCTGTGGTCGGTTGCTGTGTTGCTGTGGTTGCGATGCGATTTCAATCGTTTATTTTTTTTATCTTGAGCCCATTTAATTTATAGATCATTAGAGAAATAAACATAATAAGAAATCTGATAACCAAAATAAGACTATGGTAAATTAGACTTGAAACAATTTCCTCAAAAATTTAGTTCATAATTTTGGGGTTATTAGTTTAGTTACTCTGCAAATTTATATTTTTTTTCTTTATTTACACTTTTAGGATGCACCTACTACGGGGACCAGTTCGCCTGGTCTCTTAGGTACGGCACCTCTTATCCCTCCGCCAATGCTAGGAGGTCTACCGCCTACAATGCCGCCTGCTGTGGCTATGCCGCCAGTACCTGGGCTACCACCAAATATGGCAGCAATGCCACCACCAATGGGTTTCCCTCCTATGCTTCCACCATTCTCTATGCCTCCACCAGGTTTCCCAGCATTCAAACCTGTAAGTTTAGTTACTTTTTTCAATTTCAAAGTATTTTGTGTGCATTTCTTACTTTATTAACCTTTGAAGCATTAATTAATTTTCTTTTTTTAGCCTGAATACACCCAGGATTTGAATGCCCCAGCTCCAGATGTAGCACCAATTGCCAATCAAAGCTGTCCGTGGTCTGAACACAAGGCTCCAGATGGCCGTACTTATTATTACAACTCAGTCACTAAACAGAGTTTGTGGGAAAAACCAGATGACTTAAAGACTCCCGCAGAAGTAAGTATTGAACAAATCTGTCTTGGTTCTGTTTGTCTTGTTATTAATCTAATAATCAGAAAACTGGTGAAATATTTATTATACTTACATATTAATAAAATTCCAATTTAATAAAAAGAGTATAAGCTTTGTGTCGTGTTCCTATTTTCAGAAACTATTGTCTTCTTGTGTTTGGAAAGAGTACACTACAGATGCAGGTCGGGTTTACTACCATAACATAGAAACAAAAGAATCTAGCTGGGTGGTGCCCAAAGAGCTCCAAGAAATTAAGGATAAAATTGCTGCAGAAGAAGCTGCTCAGTAAGTTTAATTAAAATTTAATTTCTATGGATAATACTATTTACCAGAATAAAACTCATAAGTGATATTATGAGAGAATGCTCTGTGAAAAAAAAATGAGTGTGCCTTACAGTAGCCGCGTATGATGTGTATCATTTGAAACCTCACCTTATATTGGTAAAAAAAGAAATAAAACCTACTACAAAAGGAATATGCCATTTGGACATTATGTTCTAAAATCAAATCAAATAGCGTGTGCTTTTACAACTTCCTGTTACACACTTCCGTCCCATTTCACGAAATCACTCCTACAAATTGCAGGAAAGCGAGAGGAAAGATGTTACACATCAAAAAATACAACAAGTAATTACAAAACAGACACTAAAGTATAATATATTCTTCAAGGGGTCAACAAGGGACCATTATAGTATTGTTTTGTCCGTCCGTCTGCAGCTTAGCACACAGACATCGACATAGATAGCATCAAAGTTTTAAAATCAAATTCTCAATCAAAGTAGGGATATAGTGTTTAGTTGCCGCAGTATGCTTTAAATTAGGTATGAAAAAATTTATGGGGACAGCATACCAAACAATAATTCATCAACACAAACACAAAATTAAAATCAGATAAAAACTAAATATACTGAGACATGATTAAATGAGCAAGTTAAGCTGTTAAAAGTAATGAACTATATTTGGTATATGTGTACCAAACTTTATCCAAATCTGTTCAGTCGTTTTTCATGATTGACTAAGTTACAAGAAACTCAAATATATACTATTACTAGGTTTAACATACTTTACCAACTTTCACAATTATCATATTATGGCGCGATTACACTTGGTTGTTAGCCCGAAAACAAATTCCAAAGGAATTCGGGTAAACAACTAAATGTAAATTTAGTAATAAAGGTAGATTTCCTTTTGTTTACCCAACACTGTCTACCAACCTGTATTCCAGTATAAATATTACCTCAGGTGCACAAAATTGAGTAATGTCTTGTGCATCCCAATAAGGGCTAACAACCAAATGTAATTGCGGCATTACTATGATAAGATACAACATTTTTCAATGTGATCACAAGATAATTTTTCCACAGAAATGCATTAAGTGCAGATATTACGCCTGGTGAGGTTCCTCTGCCAGGTTCACCATCCATTCCAGGTTCCGGTGGTAGCTCAGCACTAGACAAAGCAATGGCAAAGACTCTGGCAGCCATTGATCCTTCCCTTGCTAACTCTATTCCTATACCTGAAGAAAGTAAGTTTTAATTTATTACCAGTTAAGTTGTAGATATAATATTAAACATATCATTTCAATATTTCATGAAAACATTCACATCCTTTTTATAGAATGTTTCTCATATTTATAGTAAACTAGCTGTTACCCGCGGCTACGCTCGCGTGGTTTTCGTATTTGAGGCTATCATCCTCTTTTGACATAGTGAGTAAAAAAGTAGCTTATAGCAACCCAAAGATTCAACCTATTAGTGCAGTCATTGAAGCGAAAAATACGTTCTTACCTCCGAATTTTTTTACTGTGAACCGTTTTGCATGAAATTTTGGAATTAGGCTCACCTTACCCTTAACTTCAAAAGTGAAAATGATCTGAACTCCGCCTATTATTTTTAAGGGGTGTAAACAACCCCTTAATGGAAAAATTGACATTGAGCCATTTCAGCAGGTAAGCAACAGCAAGCAGTAGGTACCTACCTACCTTGATTGATTTTAAAGAAATACGATTTACCAAGGTACCATATCTGTTTTTGTTTTCCTTTGTGATTTGGTTTTGTTGTGCATTAAATGAATTAGGTAGGTATTTTGGTAGTTTCTTCGAATGTATAAAATTGACTCACTGATAAAAATTATGGAAAAACACATAACATCGTGTACAGTAGCGTACTTAAATAGTACTGCTATGTGTTTAAAATAATTAAACCCTTTATTCTAATAATACTAATGCTTTTACATTTTGAAGTTTTATTACGTACTATCCATAGTAGTATTAGGTATTATTATGAGAGTGTTTGTTTTGTTTATCCTTCCTCGAAGCCTAAACCACTTTGAAAGGTAAGTATATAAAGTGCAGTCATTGAAGCATTATTACTCCGAATTTTTTTACTGTGAACCGAATTGCATACAATTTTGGAATTAGGTTCATCTTACCCTTAACTTCAAAAGTGAAAATGATGGTTGCCACCCCTTCTGGGGGGTGATTTTTTTTTTCAAAATAAGTATTGTAATAAATTTTAAGCAAAAAATCATCTATAAAGTTTTTCAAAAAATCCAATACTTTTCAAGTTATTGGCAAGTGAAAATTCGAAATTTTTTCCCGTTTTTCATCGGTTTTTTGCAAATATCTCCAAAAATGTAAGTATTATCGAAAATTTTATAAAGAACAAAATTGTAGCAGGTAAAACAATGAACAATTTGGTTTTTTTTATAGAGTATTCTAAGTGCAATATTAAGCTAGATATCAAAGATCAAAGCCGTTTTTTATTTTGTCTGAAATTTTATCGATGTGGTCAATGCCATCTAGCGGCGAGCAGATGCATTTTATGCATTCTAATACAAAATCTTTTTATGTCATACCAAAATATTTTTTTGTGATTTTTTCAATTTAGGGGTTGTTTGCAAGGGTTGTAAGATTTTCAAGGGGTTGAAAATGATTTTAATATGGGGTAATTATGTTAGAAAATACTTTACAATTTCATCACTTACTATTAGACATGTTTTCTAGCTATAAAATGGCTCAATGTCAATTTTTCCATTAAGGGGTTGTTTACACCCCTTAAAAATAATAGGCGGAGTTCAGATCATTTTCACTTTTGAAGTTAAGGGTAAGGTGAGCCTAATTCCAAAATTTCATGCAAAACGGTTCACAGTAAAAAAATTCGGAGGTAAGACCGTATTTTTCGCTTCAATGACTGCATTAATAGGTTGAAGCTTTGGGTTGCTATAAGCTACTTTTTTACTCACTATGTCAAAAGAGGATGATAGCCTCAAATAGGAAAACCACGCGAGCGTAGCCGCGGGTAACAGCTAGTTAAAAACAATAAATATACAAAAGTAATGTTCATGAATAGCGCCATCCGAAAAACCTCAGATTTTTAGTGCAAGTAAACTCGACTCGGGTAGCGACATCTCTTCAGTTTCACACGCAACAGCTTGGTTTTCGAATTGTTATTCGAGTTGGTAGCGCCTACCTCTACTCAACATCCAGGATCATCTCCACTTGAAAATTATTGGATAATACTCGATTAAGGGACTAAAATAAATCATAACAGCTGTTTATTTAATATCTGTCTACTCTAAACAGCTGATTATTTAATATCTATTTGATGTTTATAAGATTTTCTGGTAAGATATTAAGACACTGAAGGAAGACCTACATGACGTTAAAATTAACAATAAATATTAAAAAGTCATGTTCATAAATAGCGCGATCTGAAAAAACGCAATATCACAACTCACATTTTTAGCAATTAAAAATTCTCGATATTATAGACGGGTGGTGCCATCTGATAAGTTACTCAGAAAATATTATTTCAAGAGAGACTACTCGGTTGAGTTAGTATTCGAGATGGTAGCGCCATCTCTATCTATAATCACTCTAAAATGATATTTTTATATTATAAATTTGGAGTAGTATTTGCTAGATTTAATTTTAAAAATAAGATTAGAAAGAAATTGCGTAAAATTACCTTTATTGCGTATTTAATAAATGAAACACTAACACAAAATACTCGGTATTGAACACGAGTGGTGCCATCTCGTATTATTAAGTTAAGATAGCAACTTCCACATTTCAAATTTAATCTGTCTTCGTGACAGTAGCGCTATCTCTATCGGGACCAACCATGAAAATGATTAATTTAGTTGAAAATTATGTAAATTCGAATATATAAATTAAAAAAAAGTAGCCTATAGCAGGCTCATAAGTTCAAGCTATACATTTACCAAATTTCAACACAATCGGTTCAGCGGTTTAGGCGTGAAGAGAAGACAAACAAACAAACAAACAAACACACTTTCCCATTTATAATATTAGTATGAATATAATGTTCTTTATAATTGAATTAAAATTTAATAATTCTTTCATACTCAGTCAAACCTGAAGAAATAGTGGCTCCACCTCAAGCAATCAATGAAGGTGAACAGACAGCTGAAACGCAATACAAAGATAAAAAAGAAGCTATTGAAGCATTCAAGGAACTATTAAGAGACAGGGTAAGTTCTAAACCTAAAATAGCGTTAGTTTAGTTAATACTCAATGAGGTAGGTAAAACAAAGCCTATGGGTTAATTTTACCCAAAAATCTTATAATGTCCTTCGTGTCCAATACAAAAATGCCTTCAGGGCACTGCTGCGGCTGCCGCGATATTGTAGTGCTTCGGGAATATTCGCAGATGCGCAGGTCGACAGTTTCCATGCTCTTTTGCGCAAAAAAAGCAGGTTCATTGCTCCGGCGGGTTCGCGATAGCCGTAGCAGAGTCGTGAGGAATTAGTTGATCGTGGGGACTGTCCGCTGATTATTTTTTTTGTAGATAGGGTTATATCGGTTTTTAATATAATTTACTAACATGGTATTAAGTATTTTATACTAACACAAGGATCTATGTTGTCCGAATAATAAATGATTTGAATTTGAAAACTTTGCATTAGGACTCCACCGTCACTTAACATCAGATTTGATAGTCTTTTGTCAGCCAGTCAGAATTCAGCTAGCAATCATATTCACTTAAGCGTTGTTTAATATGACTTTATTTTACAGAATGTTCCATCAAATTCAACATGGGAGCAATGTGTGAAAATAATATCAAAAGATCCCCGTTATCTTTCATTTAAAAAACTCAATGAGAAGAAACAAGCTTTTAATGCTTACAAAACACAGAAACTGAAAGATGAGAGAGATGAACAGAGGTAATGTACAGTATTAAAGACAATTTTATTTGGGCAGTACTCAGACCCCCTAATATTCAAATGCACACCCACATCACAATAACTTTTAATTTAGCATTTGAAAGATGTATAGACGTAGTCAGGATATGGGTCAGGACATGACATTGTGTCGTTCTGCTGTAATAGGCGTAATTCGTCTATTATGGATTATATGAATTTTGCTTTTAATTGTATTTCCTATTGCTATTTTACCAGAAAAGTAAAATAAAAATTGTATGAAAAATTTTATCGTTAACGTTTTGTAACTCAATTTTTAAACAAATTGTTACGCTATCACAGTGAATTATATACGGCTGATAGGTGTAACTTTTTTTTATGTATTTATTTGTTTTCAAGTTACTTTTGGACGAAATTGACCATACCAGCCCCGTCGTAACCCGACCATACAATTTTCTTATAATTAACTAGCGGCCGCCCGCGACTTTGTGCGCGTGGAGTTAGTTTAAAATAAAGGTTCACTGCTCGTTCCCCGAAAGTGATAGCGTGATAATATGTAACCTATATGTTGACCCGACTTCTTAATAATGTTCGTGCCAAATTTGAAGTAAATCCATGCAGTACTTTTTGTGTTTATCCCGGACATTATACAGACAAACAGACAAATTTTTTAAAAACTATAATTTTGGCTTCGGTGTGGATTGTAAAATCACACCCCAATTATTCTTTTAAAAAAATTTTCAATGTACAGTTTTGACTTTCCTACCATTTTATTATATGTATAGATTACTGCACAAAATTGCTACCGTATTACCAAGCACTCCAGCCTCCTCTCTGTTGACTAGGATGCCCAGCAAAGGTGTTATATTTGTCGGCGGCGAGAAAACGCGCCTATATCGTGTATTAAAAATTACACGAGATGGGCAAAACAAACCAGAGTGGCTAATCCTATTTAATCCTTTATTCCGATTTTCTATGTGTTGAAGTATTTTGTCTGAGAGTTTCTTTATGTTGTAAAATCTCGTGCACATCAAAGCAAGGGCTTCGAAGCGGTTTTGAACTTTGAGTTAAACCTTTCGTGGTTTCGGAGTTGTGCAGGCATTAGTCGCAGCGTAGACTGCAGTTCAGATGAAAGATAAAAGATGGTTTAGACTTCGAGCTTAATTTTGATATTTAATGTGCCTCGTACCAACCAATAATCACGTCTCGCTAATACTATTAAGATGATGAAGTTGATCTCAATTCGGACTTTGCCGTCCGGACTCATCTTGATCTATTTACGATTTTGGGATTTCTCAAAGAAGGAGTTATCATAAAAGAGATTCCCCTTCTCCATAAAATCGACCAACACCTGGCGTTTCTATGCCCAAATCCAAATTGCCCCATTTCCAAGACATGACCGCTATGCTTCCCCAATTTTGCGTAGTGTAGTGGGTTTTGTAGCTATGTTTATAGTAAGTAAAGTACTAAGCTATGCATGGCTTTTGTGATCTCCTTATATACATACCCTCACGGCATTCAACAGAATATATTTCGCGACTTCACCTACGTGGTTAAATTGGTTTCCCATATAAACTAGTGTTGCCCAAATGCAAGAACAAGACGAGACTTAGTCAGTCTTGGTCTTGGTCTTGCGCCAATACATCTGGTCTTGGTCTTGCGCTCCCAGTCTTGGTCTTGGTCTTGGTTTTGCAGCAAGTCTTGCAAGTCTTGCAATTACCTAATAGACTATTGCTATTTATTGAAGTTTACTTTAGATCTTAGAAAAACGTATTAGAATTGGAACATTGTGAGCTTGAATTAACATAGCCATAGTAAAGACCAATCAGATTGATAAATTTCTGAAGATTTGATAAGAAATTCGAAAAACTCAACGGCCACATGGTTATTTTTTTTTTTTTTTTTTAAATTTATTTTCCTCATTATTACACATGTAAACACTATGTATACATCTGCCAAACTGTGTAACAGTTTGTCGGCAGCAGCTCTCGTTATAATATATGTATAAAAACCTATCTAGTTCAACAAAGAAATAAAAAACAAAAACACATGCACATACACACAGGCACACATAACTTACATACACACGCGCGCACACACAGTAAGATACTTTCCCTTTTTTTTAAAACAATAACAATCCAAAATATTCTATTAAACTTTTTTAAATAGTTTACCTCTTAAAAACATTTACATACCCACGCGCACACATAATTATACATAAGTTAGGTACATAACTAGTACAGGCATACTATGATATGAATGATGACTTACACCAAAACTTGCAGATTTTATCAGTAATCTATTAACACACAAATATCTAGTTATGTATACCGTTTTTGATTTTTGTAATTTAACAAACTGAGCTATATGCTGTTTTCCATGGGAGTAACTGTTTCTTAATAAACATTTACGCTTTATAAGCTTACATGTGCTAAAACATGTAAAAAGCAAATAACTTGACTGTATTTTAAAGAACAATATCTGTCTAGAAAGAGATTGGACCCTCAACTTATATGAAATTTAATAAAAGAGTTTTACGATTTATCATTTATTTCAATAAAAATTAAATACAACACAAATCAAATAACATAACAGTACACAAGAGCTTTGTCATTAGGTTCTGTTACTTTATATCAATTCTTTTGACCAAGAATTAATACAAAGTAACCATCTGGCTGACTCATCACTTAACCTATTTCTATGTTTTCTAATTACTAATGATGCTTTAGAAAATAATCTCTCAGCAGGTACTGAAGTTGCAGGTATTGAGAGAAAATCACGGGCCATTTGCGATAAAATCGGATACTCTGTCTCATGCATCCTCCACCAATCTAAAATGTCTTCCGAGCTGGCAGCTCTTGGTTTTCTCAGGTACTCCACCAACTCGTCTATCACTAAGCCTTGAAGACAAGATCCAGATGACGTCGAGGGAAATTCATACAGTTTATCAAAGTCTATTACATCTTCATCTTCATCACATACTTTATTTTCTTTTCTTGGTAATTCCAGAGAACTTGGTAGTTCATTGAACTTGCGCAGGCTTTCTGTTTTAAGTTGCTTCCCCCATATTGTCAGGTCAAAAGTCTGAGCCTTATGCCTAGGGTCTAAAATCAAAGAAGTACAATAAATCCAGTTGCTCTTCTTATAATATTTAAGCATTTTGTCTCGAGCTGCTTGGAAAGCCAGAATGAGCCTTTCATCCACTTCAGATCGATTAGGTTTCTCATGTAACTGTTTTACCATGGATTCAATTTTATCGAGCAAGAGATTGAATGATACAATGATTAGCGGTAATGTAACATATTTTTCTCCACCAAGTTTTGTACCTAAAAGTTTAAAGTTTGTTAGAAACTTATGTATTTTTTCGAGTATTTGCCATTCACAAGCTGTGATTTGAAAATCATTCAATTCGATGACAGAACTGCACAATATGTTAATGCCCGCTCTCACTTTTTAACCAAATCCAATCATATCATGTGTGGAATTCCATCTCGTTGGACAGTTAAGAATGGGATTCAGATTTGATGGCACTATCTCACTTCTTTTTATTTTACTGGAAATACTGCGTAATTTTGTTACAGATGTACGCGAGTCAGCAATATTTTGTGCATATTCTTCATCTTCCTCAGTTTCGTCTGCATAGTCTTCATACCGCTGATCTTGCGCGTTAGTATCAGTCTCAGTGTAATGCTAAGGTCTTTAATAAATCTTGTACACCAAGGTTTAAAATGTAAGCAAAGCACCGAAAATGTTGATTGTCTGAATCAAAGTGTGGCGGCAGCTGTATGCCCAGTTCATACATAAATTTGGTATTTGCAGTTGCGTTGTCGACCGTGATACCTTGTATTTTATCAATTATGTCATATTCCAATAAACATTCGTGGAAAATCGTTGCAATATCTTCCCCAGTATGTCGACCGCGTGATGGTATAATCAAGAACTACAGATCGATACTTCCATTCGTTGTCTATATAATGCATAGTAACCCCGTAGTAACTCCTGCCAGCAATTGACGTCCACCCAATCAATAGTAACCTACCACCCAATGGTAAACAACATTTTAGATGATAATTGTTGAAGTCGTTCCTTGAGATTCAATTGGAGCTCTTCAAATCGCTCTTTGACTTTCCTTCTAAGTGTGGACCTTTTATTAAACACCATATTAGGGCAAATACGTTGAAAATATACTCTTGTAGCTTCGTCATCGAAAAATGAGAAGGGAAGATATTTTTTCACCATCCAATCAACTGTAGCTATCGTGATGTTGTTACTGCTGTTTTCCGACTGAAATAAAACAATAAATCTTGTGTTATTATTTAAAACATACTAGGTTTGAGCGTTTAGGAGGAGGAGGTTTGTTGTTGTTAAATCGAGAAAATCGTTAAATTGAGGTTTGTTATATTAAGGTTGCACTGTACTGTAATTTACCAAAATAAAGTAGTTAGTTGTTACTGGCCGATTATGAAAACAAATGAAAATATGGGTGGTTTATAAAAAATATTTAACACAATAATTACATACTTAATATGTGTTATGTAATTGTGAGATAAATAAATTTATTCTTACCTGTCCACTTCTTTCTGCGGTTACTAAAAAGCTTGTGATATCTCCACTTAATTTTGGTTTAACGGGAAGAAATATTTGTGATTCCTTTTTGTGGAAAGATATTAGATGTTTCCTCAAGCCTGAAGTGTTTCTGTTTTTCATTTTTATTTCAACCTTTTTATGTTGGCACAATTTACACAAGGCAGTTTGGGATGCATGAATTATTTCGAAAAACTCCTCAAATTTGCCTTTAGGTCTTTTAGATCTAAAACTCAAACTCTCATTACTCGGGCTAGAACAATTTGAATCTTCGTCACTCATATTAAATTGTACACGTGATATGTTTTCCGAAAACAATAAGAATTAGTAAAAACAATATTACGTTAGACTCGAAGCACAGTTCAATTGGAAATGACTGGAATTAAAATAATTCCTTTTTTTATAATACATTTCCTTGCTTTCTACCGCGCCGCCTCGGCACGTGCCGGCTCTATTAAAAGGATGCCGCCGCAAATCAAACGATGCCGCGTACGGCGTACAAACACAGATTAATACCTACTTGTACACACGCGTGACATTGTGCCAATCACTATTCTTTACGTATAAGTGAATGTTTTGTCGTACTAATCTATACTAATATTATAAAGCTGAAGAGTTTGTTTGTATGTTTGATGACAGAAGTTTTAAAATAAATAAATAAATCCTGAACGTCACTATACCTCCATAGTTACTATTCCTCGTGGACGAAGTCGCGGGCACTGCTAGTAAATATTTACTCTCATCATCTCTCTCGAGATATTCGGGCTCGTAAGCAATACAAAAATCTTATTGCAGTCTTTTTATTTTATAAATAGGTAGGTACGCTTTTTATATAATTTTATTAGCTTTGTAGATTTCACATTTGTACCAAACAAAACATTGTTTATCATCTTTTGATTTTCTAGGTTGAAAACGAAGAAGAATCGAGAAAGCTTGGAAGAATTTTTACTAAGTTGTGATCGAGTGACATCATTAACTAAATACTACAGATGTGAAGAAATGTTTAGTAATCTTGAGGTACGATTTGGGATGAATTCAATCCTATAAACAATACTTTGATCTATATAATAAATATCAACTTCATTTTAGATATGGAAGTGTGTACCTGATGCAGACAGGAGAGACATATTCGAGGACTGTATATTTACAATAGCTAAACGTGAAAAGGAAGAAGCTAAAGCACTGAAGAAACGTAACATGAAGATGTTAGCCCAGGTATAGCACAGATAACCATGCCATACGCCATACACATGCCAAGGGTTTAATATGAAAATAATGTAACAATCATAATATAATCTGCTATGCTATGTCGCTTGAAATGACAACCTCTTTATAATAGTTTTTCAATTGAAAAGTTTGTAGCGTTACCTACTCTCACCGGCATTCAACAGAATATATTTCGCGACTTCGCCTGCGTGGTTAAATTATTTTTCCCATACAAACTTCCACCCCCTTTTCACCCTTTCAAAAGGATGATTTCTGCGATTTATGCTAGAAACTTAGTGTGAAGAGTAAACAGTACAGACAGACTGACACAATATTAGTATGGATGAAGCATGGGAAGTAGAGAGGAAAAAAGGCAAACACGTAGTGTAGGTCCTGAGTGCCGGCCCATCGCATATCCGGATTGCGGAGCGTAGGAAAATGCTATGAATACGCGCCCGCTCACAGTTCGGACAGGTTTAAACAATGATATTATATTAAAGCAGATATGTCATAAGTGCGCAGGCTGTGGAAACTCGAAAACAAAACCAATTGTAGTGTTTATCATTATCATTGCTTAACAATGGAGCGTAACATTTGAAGTTGGAACAGATTTTAAATGCAATGACTATGAACGTAACATTTCTATAGAAATAATATATCATTGGGTTCAAACCATAGATTAAAACAAAAAGCGAAGATACGGAACTCGCGGCTCAAAAGCGTGTGCTTATGCACCGCTTAAATTGTGGTGCATGACCATAATTCGCTTTAGTCATAATTCGACATTCAAACACGCTGCATGTGCACTCTATATATAACAATATTGCGTATATTCTGTGTTATAACGATAAAATAATGACTTCGATGATTTTAATAAGAACGCATATAGTTCTAAATCAAATAACAAATTTCACGGTAACACTTTTCATTCGCAAAACTATGAAAACTTTTTTTCTCAAAAAAAAACACGGTTGTGTTGAATGTTATTTATCTTATCCACCATTTGTTTTCAAGAAAAGGACAACAATAAATCTCAGCCGTTTGTAGATAGAGGAAAGCAAACGCAGTCGCCAAGCCAAGCGACGCAGAGTCGCCGTTTTGCTCGGCTGCGTTGAAGCGTTCAGTTCTGTCTCGCTCGCTCGATTGAATGTTTATGTACAGAAGTGTGCGTGATAGTTGCTTATGTAGTTAAGTCGGAGTGTATTTTATTTAATGCTAGAATGAGATTATCGTATCTTCCCTTTTTGTGTTAATCTAAGGTTCAAACATGTTTACATCGTGCGTAGCGGATATCGCATGCGCGTCCTAAGGGACGCAGCCTCAGTGGGCAACATTATGTCGGCATTTATCGGTTGCATAACGCGGGTCAAAGGATCCGGAACGTCGCAATTAATTCCGCGAGTAGCTTTTGCCGGCAGAGGAGTTCTTGGCGGGATTTCATCGAGTGCGGGTGGCGTCTTATTTTAATTATTCTTAAATTTGTTCATAGTGGATATTGTGAAATAAAATTGGTGTGATTTTGTGTTATAACCAACTGCGCAACTGAAGAATAAAGAAATTAGTGGAATCTTTAAAATATACGCTATTCCGATCAAGTGGATGTGAGAACTTTATTGTAGTGTTGACTACCTCACAGAAGCTTATCGATAAAACCAACGCGATACATTTCGTGCCAAACACTCCAACACACATTAGAATGCGTCACACCGACATTATAATGTAAAAAAAGAAGATTAAAATTGTATGTATGTATACGATTGAAGGAAATGTATCCATGATCATGAATAATTTAAAAAAAATACTGTGCCAGAGACGCTACAAAAATATTACCAAAAATTTATTTCGCGTTTGAAGTGCAAACCATAGGAGATGCCTGTTTTATTTTTTTATTATTGGTTCGTTTTACAGGTGTTGGAAAACATGAATGAAATAACATACAGCAGTACGTGGAGTGAAGCACAAGTATTACTTTTAGAAAACTCTTCTTTCAAGAATGACGTTAGTTTGTTAGGAATGGACAAAGAGGATGCTCTTATTGGTAAGAAGTGTTTGTAACCAGAGATTTTATGGGTAATTTTTATGTTCGATTTTTAAAGCAGAATGGTTGAATTTTAATTAACAAATAAAAAAACACAACGTTTTAGAAATACATATTAAAATCACTTACAATGCTGGAATTGCGGAGCCGTTATAAAACCGAAGGAACTCTAACATTTAATATTAAGTTATTCATTACAAGAACAGACAGTGGGCAGCGGGGCAATCATAGAGAGAGATTAGTGTTCGAACACAGATTAGTGATGGACGTAGTATAGGGTTGCCAAATTTTAACAATACTAACTGTGTTAAAAAGTGGTTCCACGCTAACTGCGATTAAGTGGGCGGGGCGAAAAATTGACAGATTGAACATGTTGATACTGGGATTGGTCGGAATTTCCGTTTAACATTATTTTTCTTAATGAATGCAGAGCCGAATGCATTGGCAGATATTTGATTTGTCAAAGTATTTTGTTTTCACTGTGTGCCTGTCGCGCTAATATTGAAGTTTAGTTGTATGAGATTGAAACCACGTTTTTGCGGCCTTTGTTTGAATATAATGTTTCCATATCATTTCTAATTCGTTAAATATGTTTCGTTAATGTTCACTTTAGTTTATTTAGTAAACTGACCTTTCTTCTTTTTTTTAGTCTGGGACTGACTATTGAAAGTCGTGGGTTCTAAATTCCATATTGACAATGATCATATTTCATAGTAACTATATTCTTAATACATTCTAATATAAGTATTTCTAATTATAATTTTTATTATTTTAAAGCATGTAACTGCTTGATGTTTAAATCTAAAGAAAATATAACTAGAATAAGTATTTCTGTTCATAAATAACAATCATATAATGATTAATTTAATAAGATTGTTTATTTCAGTATTTGAACAGCATATCAGAAATCTGGAAGCAGAATATTTACAAGAAAAGGAACAGTTAAAAAAACGAAACAAGCGACAACAGAGGAAAAATAGAGACAATTTTTTGGTAAATATTTGATAATAAACTCACATTATTTTACAGTATACCCTGACCAAAAAAATTAAAAAACTTTGCCATATTGCAAAACACAAATGGAACTTAATTGTCAATATAAGCACTAAGTGATACGAACAGATTTTCATTCGCTGTTCAGCTAAACAACAGTAAAGGTTTTTTTTAATTGTCTGTATTCATAGTTCAAGCTTTTATATAGTTTTACCTATTTTATAAGTATTTTATCAAATCGTTTGATCTTCCAATCTTGCATATACAATATTTTATTAATGCGTTTTATTTTTGTTTTACAAATCTTGAAATGTTTTTTAGGCTTTGCTAGAAGGCTTACATGAAGAAGGCAAATTAACCTCAATGTCTTTATGGGTAGAACTTTATCCAGTTATTTCAGCGGATATGAGGTTTTCAGCTATGCTTGGTAAGTCTGTAAAGATATTTTTTACTGGAAAGAATTAAACCCTGCCACAATGTATGGATGTACTTGACCCAGCGTCTTTCGCAATCCGGGCGAATGCACTAACACATGATTCATCGATTTATGCATGAAAGGACAGAAAAAAAGAGTTAATTTAGAATTTGTAATATAGTATAATTTATAATATTGTTAATCACCATCATTATAGGCCTATTAATGTCCCCAATCGGTTCGGTTTGCGTTTGTGGATATTAGGGCTGGCTACTGACATATCTATCACAGGGGCAATTTAGGGGCGAATCCTTAAACGGGGATCCCGCGGCTTCGCACTAAGCAGCTTAAAGGGTATTCGCAGGGTTTTTTAGCGGATATTATGCCGTAAAGCGCCCGTAAGGGTTACGGGGTCTTCAGTGGGCATCAGCTGCGGGGGCCCGTGAAGCTTGCGGGAGCCAGGTGTCAGGTCCGTTCGGCGGTGTGCCTCTTAAAGGTGCCGTCGTCTGTAAACAGAGGTTTCGCCTGCGTCACAAAAAAGGGGCAATCTAGGGCTCACTGCGATTGGGGCAATATTGGCTTGTTTCTACATACATTCCTGCCATTCAGTGTTCGAGTATTTATTTAGCTAAACACAGACGTTAGTAATGGTCTCAGTATTATCAAAAGATCGGTAAAGCCTTTTAGCTCTATCTGTGCCGTTCCCGAAAAAAAGGAAAATGAGATACTGGCTGAAGAATTGGCTACAGAGAAGAAGTATGTACATGAATATTATGAAATAATTGGATTTTTTTAAAAGATCAATTCATGTCCTTATATTTCAAACATTAGTCCAAAAGTTTACTGTCTCATGTCACGGTTAATGTTTGAATTTTTATCCTACATGTGAGGGATATTTTTGAAGACTTAATTCTAGCACTCGCGTCCAAATTCTTTTATTGTTATCAGTCGCCACCTTGATCGAAATACATGCACTCTGTGTGACGGTTAACAACCAACTTATTGAGAATTTGTCCAGGTCGCGCTACACACGCGGCAACGTGCATGGTGGCAGGGACAATCTAGAGACCAAGTATGGTCTCGCGCCCCTGTTGCGCTCCCGCAGGGCCAATCTAAAAAGTTGCCTCCGCTTGCCTACACAAATCACAATTAAGGGTCATCCCACACTTACACCCTAGATTGCCCCTGCAGCAGGGATGTGTTTAGCCTTAAGAAATTTTTGCAATGGTCGGTTATTGGATAGGTGATCAAAAACTTATTGGCTCGAGCTAATCCGTACCTCGTAAGACACGTTAATCCGTTGGTCCCGGGTGCATCTGCAGTCGTTAGCATCTACCAATCCGCATTGAGCCCGCGTGGTGAGTCACCGCCCAATCTCCCCATTCCCTCCATAGGGCCCATTCGCCTTTCACCTTTTTTTAAATCTGCCCAGTAATTTTTTAGGTTTCCGTAGTCCTGACAAGGGACCCTTATAGTTTCGTTATGTCCGTCTGTCCGTCCCCGGTTTTGCTTAGATAGAGAGCTGTTATTTTGTGTATAAATATATAATGTATATCGATCACGCCGACAAAATAGTAGAATAAAATTTTGTTTTTTTTTTATGGTAGCCATATGCAACCTGGGGATTTTTTTTCTTCTTCTATCCCATCGTGTGGGATATCGTTGAATAGGTCCTTTAAAACTACTTAGCGGTGTCTTTGACTATTTTGTGAGTTAGGGATCCGTTTGCGAAATATTGAACTTTAAAGTGCTAATTTTTGTTCGAGTAGGGCGTCTCTAAACGCTTAACTATTGGCTTGAAAAACCTGGAAAAAAAATGATAATGATTCATGAACTTTTAAGGAAAACTACAACGGTAACGATATGTTTGTTAGTTTTAAGAGTAATAGTCGTTCAACTTTGGTTAAAGAAAATTTCTTACCTATTGAAAATTCCTTAGAAGAAAACATTAATAATGACACATAGCGTACAACGTTCCATTGCAACAAAATCTTAAAAAAAAAACACAATAACACATTAGTTCCGCTTAATCTGAAGCGATCATCGCTTCAGATTAAGCTTTTATTCAGTAAGAGTCTGACATAACCTTGCAGCCGGCTATAGGGTATCCATGAGGATTGAACACTCGCTCCCCCACCTGAGAGGAGACAAAAAAATATCGGCGGTTATCTTTGTTATGAGTGTGAGAGTTTGACTTTAAAATTAGGTATTTTAGTTGAGATACATAGATTGATATTAATTGGTTTTTCTAATTTCCGATAAAGAAAATAAGGAATCCTGCTCAATTATATTGTGGTAACTACAGGCAACTACGGAACCCTACACTGCGCGTGGCACAACACACACTTGGCCGGTTTTTAGTTTATTCATTACAATATACATAAGTACAAATCTTTTTTCCTTATAATATTTTACGAAATTTGGTTTAAAACAGTTGATTAATATTCTTTATGTTCTATTTATTATAGCTATACATAACTTAAAAATTTTAGGACAAAGTGGTTCTACGCCCTTAGACCTATTTAAATTCTATGTGGAAAATTTGAAGGCGCGATTCCACGACGAAAAGAAAGTTATCAAAGAGATTCTGAAAGAGAAAGAGTTTGAAGTGAAACCTTACACTTCGTTCGAGGAATTCGCCACCGTCGTTTGTGAAGATAGCAAGTCGGCCTCTTTGGACGCTGGAAACGTGAAACTTACGTATAATTCGTTGCTTGAAAAGGTAATTAAATGTCTAGCAACGGCTGTAGCACAGCTGAAAGGCCCAGAGTTTGAATCCTAGTAGGGGCTAGCTGTCAGTATGCGTGTTTTATACGGAATTTAGCTGCCATGTAGCTCTCGCTATATATGGGACCAGATAATCGTTAATTAATAGTATTTTTATTGATTGTGAATTCAGAATATTTTTAATTGTGAATAGAATTTGTCTGCGATTTTATTGCACACGAATGTATGTATACTCACACCACACATTTTGAGTAAAATTTGATAATTTAATTAAACTTAATTTAATCAAACAAATATAATTCAGGTAAAATTAAATGTTTTCCCCTAGGCTGAAGCTAGAAATAAAGAGAAAATTAAGGAAGAAACAAAAGCCCAAAAGAAATTGGAGAGTGCGTTCAAGTGGGCACTAGCCGAAGCTAACATTGACCATCAACTGTCATGGAGCGAGGCCAAAGAGAAATTAGATCTCGCAGCACCAGAATTTACGGCAGTGCCAAATGAAGAAGACCGAATTAGAATATATAAGGTACTGTAATTTGTCGTTATGATATTATCGGTCCTCGTTCTCATACAAAAATGTAAAAATCAGTACACAACTCAAAAGAGATCCTGACTCCTAAACAGATAGGATTAACCGGTGTATTAGGAGTAAGTTTTTTTCCTTAAAGTGACATATTTTCTTCGTGAATTCAGGCATGTTAATGAAAAAACACTTTTTGTGATTATTGCGTTTGGCCAATGTTATTAAAAACTTTAGATACAACATCACGAATAAAATCGTAGCCGAACCTGTCCAAAAGGTACATTGGACGATCCACGGAACTTCGTTAGATGATAGCTAAGCCAAAAACGTTACAAAGCATTGTTTAAACATTCAAAGTCACCAATATGCATAATATATAAGGTCTTCATTTAAACGTATACGTCAAAGAGTTATGACAGTTCGAAATGCAAGCTCGTAAAATTTCACGACTTGTGAGAATATAGACTATTTCTCTGAAGTTATATCGTAATTTTAGTTTTTATGAGCACGAGGGAATGAGACGACTAAATAATCGACCATGCATTTGATTATTACAAATATTTTCTATTAATATCAGTATATAGTAAGTATTAGTGCAAAATTTGTTCCAAATGCGTTAAATTAACTGACATTTATTTATTTATTTAAAAGGTACATCAACATTGGTAGTATTTGATTCCTGTCTGTCTAAAAAACGACACACTATTAGTATTTTTTTGCATTTCTTCACGGAGCTCTGCTGTATATTTACTTCTCAACAGTTCGTGCATGACTAGGAACCAAGAAGTGCTTGAGTGATGTTCAAGCACTTCCTAATTGGGACACATTTTGAGCTCTCGTGGTGTATCTAGAGTTTTAAATATAGTTGTTTTTAGTACATTTTTTTAGCAACTTGTTGGTGCTGCTTCGTTAATATTTATATAGTAATTATTGATCTAGGACTTCCAACACGAGCAAGAAGAAAGCTGCATGCACTACCATCATCCCAAATCCAGGAAATCGAAAAGGTCAAAAAAGAAGAAGCGGTCACACTCTACGTCACCTTTGGTAATTATTCAATTAGCTACTCATTTATGACTTCCTATTCGATTTTTGTCCCAAACTGGCTTTATCCGCTACGCATATAATGCATTAACAGTATAAGATAGGAAGAGAAGAATATGTTTATATACACCACTACCTGAGAAACTACTAGCTAATTCAGAAAACGAATTCGGTTATACTCGTACTTATAAAAAAAAACTAATTATTTTTTTCGAAAAATGTCTCCACGTCATAACCCTATTTGCGCAATTATGAAACCTTAAAAAAATTTCCTGTCATAATTTGATTCAAATAAATTTACTTTTAAGATCCACGTACTTTAAACGGGTAAAAATTCCATAATAGGTCATGTTATTTACAAATTTGCGCCGTTTAAATATATTTTGTAAAAGATATAAATGAATATTTTTGTATGGGGGTTTGTATGTATTGCGTTTACTGTTGATAACTGTTCGCACTATTTTTATTTACACGATTTTTAAGTTTCTCAGGTAACTCAAAATTCACGGTGTATATTTGTTTTATCGATTTTGGAGAAGCACTAAATACCATCATTTTTTTTTACTTTCAAAGGTCCTTAAATCTCTATTAAAAAATCGAATTCGTAACGTATGCGAGTATGGAACGTCATTGTAAAATGTGTACTGAATTTTAGTTCTCGTTACTTTGCGTTATGGCGCTGCTGTTCAAGTTACCATACGAAATTTTTATGGGCCTCGCAAACTTTTCGAATTCGATAATGGTCCGTGCTAAGGGTACACAGTTTTACTTTATGGTCAGTCCATCATCAGCCTATTAATGTCCCAACTGCTGGGGCACAAGCCTTCATTATGGATGGAATAGGGAGATTGGCCCATGACCCACCACGCGGGCCCAGTGCGGATTGGTGGGTGCTAACGACTGCTGTTGCAGCCGGGACCAACGGCTTAACGTGCCTTCCGAAGCTCGGAGGAGCTGGAGATAGTAAAAATTTTTGGTCATCCATCCTATGACCGACCACTGCGAAAGTTGCTTAACTTCAACGATCGCAGCCGAACGTGCAAACCACTTGCGTCATCGAGTTCCTCAATGGCGCAAGTGGTGGCATGGTCAGTCCATTCTCTTTTTTTCTGGTTTACTATCATCGTTCACATTTGAGAATTTGATTGCCTTTTGTAGCAGTCCAAATCTCGGTCGCCGTCGCCGTCGCCTACGGCGCGGTCACCGTCGCCAGCGCCCAGCCCCACCTCTTGGTCTTCCGAGGAAGGCCGGTCCAAACACAAGAAGTCCAAAAAGAAATACAAGAAACACTCGCCGGCACCAGTGAGTTTCATTTTTTTTGACAACATACAGTCATTTACCTAAATGTTTACAATCATCTATCAATTAGCCCAAAAGGAGATTGCTCAGCTTCCATACATGTTTGGCCTAAAGACCAATAATCATGAAAAATTGTTTCTTAGATTCGAAATTTATTATAAATTACTGTAGAAACGAATATTATTGACGGACACCCCTGAGAAATTCTATAAACCATATACACTGAACATATTAAAGTAATAAAATAACAAATAAGTTATATAGTAAACTAGGGAAATCAAGCCAAGTACAGAAATTATGGATTAGATTCAGGTATATAGAGCATGTAGATTAACAGATAGTTGCCTGTTTTCAAAGTTAATGCATAAGAGTAACTTTTAAAATCAGGTGTCATTTCCGGTTATAATAAGGTACTCTGTGACAGAAACTGTGTGATGATTGTTAATGAGCCACAGATTAGAGAGAATTTTTAAACTCTCGTTAACCAAAGAAAGCTAAGAGATTTAGGTTCTATAGCCATATATTCAATAGCTTCATTATTTTTGTTATGTTTTTAAGATAACCATATTTATATCACACCTTATAATTTTATTTATTTATTAATTTATAGGAGGTGTTTGGCGAAAAATGTATGGCAATAGACTTTATGATGTCGCCTACCATCTATAATAATTGTCTGAGCACCTTTGCATCTAGTGAAAATGATAATATAGTTGTGGATACTAATACCACAGTGTAATAAAAAAAATGATTCATTTTATCGATCTTTACAAAATAGATTTGTTTTATGTTATATAAACAACTTCGATCAGTCTTTGGCTGAATGTTACTACACCCATAGCCATTAAAAATTATTTGTATGTTTTCCAAACCGGTAAAATTAAAAGTCCTTTTTAAAGTAAATATATTATACAAAGGTGTCCGTTGTTATTTAATAACTGTAAATTAAATTATAAATTACGCCAAGAATTACTGTGTATGTAAATATTTTTTGTGCATTTGGGCCAATTTGAGCAATCTCCTTTGTTAACTGCACTAGACTAAGAGCGAGGCATCCCAACACAAGTATTAATTATTACTTTCTGGGTTGTCTCAACTTGTACTGTAAACTGACTCTTTGGGAAATAAAAACCATTTTCATTTCATTTTTCATTTTCATCTTAAAGAAATACATATATAGGTTTTAGACTTGATTGCCTACAATTAGATTGTTAAGAAATTAAATGGAAGTGATCAATCAGGTTGGAAGCAATACAATGAGTTAAATGGATATCATTATCATCTGGTTTTGTATATTATCTATAATTTCAGGTTGAGCATCCGAAACTGTCATCATCTTCATTCATCTTATCATCATCAGCTTATATTTTGTGTCCCCATTGCTGTGGTTTTCCTAATGGACAAAATGGAGTACGGTCTATAATGCGATTTGTAAGCCCGGTGCGGCTTGTTGGCAGAGAGTTTCATAACCATTACCTATTTGTAGAGGTGGCCGTTTTTAAAATAACGATGCGCGATGACGATGCCAGGTTTGGTTGCGCGCATCCGATGCGACTGGGTACCGTTATTAGATACAGATGTCATCTAGATTTGTCAACGTTACTATAGCTATAGTGCCACAAACTTATCTGTGCCGGCGGAGATGTCGCTAGCGGTGAACAAATATGTCTTTAAGATGCCAAAATGCTAACAAATTGTAGTTATACAGAGTAGGTGTGCAAAATTTTTAATTAATCCTATGCAATTTTGGATGATCTTCCATTTAAACTTTGACACAAAAGTTTGAATTTTTTTGAGGGTAGTTGTAAAAATTTGATGTAACAATTTTTTCCACCGGCACAGAAAAGTTTATGTGCTGGTCTGCGTTCAAAACCAACGCTCAGAGTGCAACTTTCCAGGTCATAATTTTGCCAAAATTCAGAATTTTCAGTTACCATGCCGAAAAGTAAATAAATGGTTTCGATAACATTTTCAAGTAATGATTCATAATTCGAAGAGGCACACCCACACAAAACACGTCTCTTTCGTAATTCGTATCGCATCGCATCGCATCCTGTGATACTACGATACTAGCTTAACTGACATTCACTTCAAAAATATCTAAAAACGCCCATCTCTACCTGTTTGCGTATGTCTAGTCGCCCTCACGTAAAAGTGTAAATATGGTTACTATAGTTCTGAGGCCCAATTATGAGTTTCGCCTCGATTTAAATTTATTATCGCGTTTGCGTTTACATCGAAATTAATATGTATAGCGTTGTCTTGGGGTACGTTAACGAAGTTACTTTCTTCATACTAATTTTGAAGTAAACGCAAAAAACTCATACTTGGGCCTCTGTTGATTTTATTTAGTTTTGTCACTGGTAAGGATGAGCTAACCAAAATCGCCAGTTTTATAAAATATCGACATAAAATTGTATGTGTATTGTTACTGATAGTTAAAAGATTGTTTGACCACCATACTCTATTCAACTTTTCTGCGACAAAAGATAATTATAACGATAAAAACGTATTTACATGGGTCGAATTTTATATGCATTAAAAAGACCTAAAACTGTGGCTATTCCCAAACTTTGAATGCATTATAGCCCGAGGTCCGGCCGCCACCCATCTGTTTTTTGATGAAACCTAATTTATAGGAATGATTAGTGAGTAGGTATACATTGTTTTAATCGTGGGTTGCTTGAAAAAAGTAGCCGCAAATACCTTTAAATCAATTTAGCGACATCCATTTTTTTATGAAAATTGCATCCATATGTTTGCATCTAAAAAGAATGATGTGGAGAATTCAAAAAACAAGGGTTGCCACCTCTCAACTAGCCGCAACCTCAACCAATTTTTGACTTTAGATACATTATGAAGTGAACAACACTACGACAATGATAGAACCCTGTGATTAATGATCGTCAATATGGATTTAGACCAAAACGATCGACGGATCTTCTACCGTACCTGACTCACATCTGGGGTGAGGCTATCGACAAGCGAGGCGAGTCGTTGGCTATCAGCTTTGACATTGACAAAGCTTTCGACAGATTCTAGCACAAAAGTCTTCTCTCCAAGCTTCCGGCATACGGTCTGCTCAGTTTTGTTCCTGGGTAGCTGACTTCCTGCATGGATGTAGATTTCGTGTCCTTACGGATGCTGGTAGTTCGCAGTTCATGTCAGTAAATGCCGGCGTGCCTCAGGGTTTCGTTTTATCTCCTACACCTTTACTGCTGCATATCAATGATATAATTCCTATTGGGAATATTCTTTTCTATGCAGACGATAGTATAGTGCATGCGGGATAAATCAGACACGCAACAGCTGGTCGGGTCGATACAAAGGAGAAACGTGAGAATCTTATCATTGAGCTCAATCCGGTTATAGGACCACATCATACCTATAAATCGATTCGATTGGCTCCGTATAGACTATGTGCTTAACATAGCCCCACAAAAAATAATATAGTGGTGTTAAATCACACGATCTAGCTGGCCACTTAACAGCTGAGTTTCGTGAAATTATGCGATCGGGTTTAGTTTGCAATAAATTGATCGTTTCATTGGCTTTGTGACATGTGGCGCCGTCCTGTTGAAACGACCATAGGCCAAAATTGAGTTGTTAACATCTCGCGATAGCGTGATCAATTGACCGCATCTCCAGCCTCATCTTCGAAAAAACGAAATGTAACCTTAACAGAACCACCATCTTCATAGTGGATTTTAATTATTTTTATTCGATTTTCTAGCGAAATTGAATTCATTGTAACAATTGCCAATGCATCTACTACGAATACGTCAAAAAACTAAATGTCAAAACTATCATGTGGTTGGTGTTGCCACAATTGAATAAAAAAGTTCTTGTTGAACAGCTCTTTATAAAAAAAATCTTTTTTTTTTAAAGAAATCGCCTACCCCCGAAGAGGGTGGTATCAGTGACGACGAACCGGTCCGGCACAAGAGCAAGAAGTCTAAACGCGGCGCGCCCAGCAGCCCCGAAGATAATCTCGAACACGCACACAAGCCCAAGAAAAAGAAAGAGAAGAAAGACAAGAAAGAGAGGTGAGTCAAAGTCTATACTCAAGATATCCGTGCTCATAATGAATAAATTTGACTATTACACGGTTATTTTTATAGTTTTGAAAAATAAGTCGTATTATCTCAAAACGAATAGAAAAAGTGTAAATACTATCAGCCTTACTAATAAAGATAAACGCTACCTATCTGTTAAAAACGTGTTGTAAGCCATCGGGTTACCAATAAAAACTTCTTTGACACAAGGATTTTATACATCTGTTTTACTGTAGAACAATAGTTACATATTAGTTATTCAATCGGATACCCAAGTATAACTATTGTGTAAGTCTTATCCAGTTAGTCTTTTCAAGTTACGAAAAAACGAAAAATATCTACATATAAGTCGTATTGATCCAATACATGTAATTATACAATCGATTCTCAAGGACTATGTACGAAAAGCGATGACTTATAAAAAATATATATTAAGCAAGACTCCAGTTTTGAATAACATAGCTGTAGCATGGAAATATTTAGAATATTAGCACGGAAAGTAAACAACCAAACGTTATTAATGAATGAAAGCTCAGCACAGGATCATTCACAAGGTTGACACTTGTTCAGAAGTTTCCAATAAGTTTGAGTAATAAATAATATAACCCAACTTAGTGTATCATGCTATCCATTACATAAAAAAATATCCAAAATAGTCAAAAACATAAAGAAAACCAATTATTTGCATGAATTAAGATATTTCTTAATTAAAATGACATTATTTTCACTTCAATAAATACTACAAAAGTAGTGACACTATGGTTTCTAAACGTACCTAACGTACAAATATTGCCATTGAAAATTTTATCCATGCTTAACCATAGAGCAATACAGCCGACGAGGCCAGGAGGGGAGTAGGCATTTACAGCGTTCCCCTCTGTCGCTTTTCGCCCACTGTTGGTCTAGCTCACGTAACAAAAGAGCACAAAAAATGCCAAATTGTTTAGTAATTTGCTGTAAAAACCGATCTGCAACATCAAACTTAAAATTAGATGGTGTAACATTTCATATATTAGTAGAATTATTACTTATTATTGATGTGTAACATCCTTCCTCTCGCTTTCCTGCAATTTGTGGGAGATTTCGTGAAATGGGACGGAAGTATGTAACAGAAAGTCGCGAAAGCGCGCGCTATTTGATTTGATTTTAGAACAATGTTCAAATGACTTATTCCTTTCGTAGTAGGTTTTATTCCCTTTTTTTATTAATATAAGGTGAGGTTTCAAATGTTACACATCATACGCGACTACTGTAAGGCTCGCTCGTTTTTTTTTCTATGTAATGACTTTTGAACAGAAAATAAATATTATTTTAAAGAAATTCTATCCTTGGCTTTTTTGACAAACCAATCGACTCGCCACCAGTTCAATTTTCAGATCTGTCAATTAAAAATCTAAAATTTCATCTATGAACGATTTATTGTTGTCATTTTATATGTGTGAATGTCGTTATTCAAATTTCGTTTTTTGCAATAGTATGTTAGACTGCATTTGTGTGCATATTTCTCCTCCCGCAAAAAGTGGCTGAATGATTTCAGTAGTATTGTGTCATTATGGTTACTCCCGTCCTGGCTGCGTCGTTCGTGATGCTTTATGTGCTTAACATATTATGTGTAACTATTCACAGGTAGTACAATCTTTATTGGTAGGGTGAACGTATTGCGCTTACCACACGCACAAGCTTCACCACAGTTTGGCCTGCGCAAGCATCTCACACGAAAAAAACTGTACACTTTGTGCGTTACCACACGGCACAGTTAAGTACGCGCAAGCCTCATTCTTATCGAAATCATTGGCGTGGAAACAATCCCAAGCAGCATCACAAGCTGTATAACAGCTCTATTAAAGTTCGTTTATACTCTTAATGCTGTATCTCTTGGCTGCATAAAGGCTGTATAAGCGCTTATACAGCCCTTATATCCCTGAAATTGGCACAAATTATACAGCGTTTTGCGTTATATTAGCTGTACAGTAGCTGTATAAGCATAAAATAGGCTGCATAATAGCTGTTTTGCGGCTGTACTATGGTGTTCGAGGAAACCAATACACTCCAATTACTACATTGTAACTCACTTGTTGAGCTTTACGTTGTAAAAAGTCTGTTGAACAGAGTTACAAAAGAATTAAAACGAAACAGAAGATATATTTTAATGATGGCGTTTATAATCACTATTGATCAAAGTGACATTTATTATAAACGCTTTGTGTTTAAAGATTTGGAGATTCAATAGGCGCAGGATACAGTGCATTATCGTGCAAAAATAAATTTATTGTGGACATATATATGTTTTGTGATAAAAAATAAACGCGCCAGCAAAATAACCAAGGAAGAGATATTAAATAAAGTTATTAAATATGGTTTTTATAGGTTAGAATTTAAAATGTTTGAATTAATTGACGTAGAGCCTCATTGATGCATAGTAGGTTATTGGACAAACTGAAAATATTGATAAACATAAAAACATTAGTCTAATTTTTATGTACTCATGTTCGTAATCTTCGATTTGTAATTGATAAAATGGCGACAATTTGCTAAACAGCCTAAATTCTATTTTGATGGTATTATAGCATTAGTAGCTGTACTATGTAGGTAATGGATACTAGTATTCAGCTTTAAGCGGTTGATGGGCTGTATAAACGCATAAATTTACTATTAATGTTGCATAGCAGTGTTTCGAACATAACCTGTAACTCTTTCTAGGGATACGTAATATTAAGTGAAAAACCAAAATGCACTGAGAGATCACATCACGTTTTCGAAAGTAAAGTATTAAAGTTATTTTTTAGAAATTTCAAAGCAATTATTGTAGATTTGCGTCATAGAATTTGTAAAGAAATAAATAAAGTGATTCTCATAGTTCATTACTTAAGTGAAAGAAAAGTAGTAGCATTACTTAAGTGAATTGCAATCTTTTTATATTTATGCATAATGATTTACTTATATTCTACTGTTTCAATTCTATTACCTTTAATGTAAGCTCTCGCAGGAGAATCGCATATAAAACATCTTATTCCTATAGATACTTTACTCTTGATTTGTTCAACGTACATTCCATTTTTAATTAGGTTGTCAATTTCGTTTACAAAATCATTTAAATATTCGTCAATTTGCTTTGGTTTTACAACACCAAAATATATACCAATCACTAACAGTTCTACATCAGGTCTTTCAAATATAGTACATAAAATCGGCCAAAACTCTTTATTAGAACTATTAAATATTGGAAGACCGTCAAAATTGAAATTCAAATAAATTTTACTCGGAACCTCAACCCATTTTTTTAATATATTTTTTAAAGATTTAGTTAGGCCGTTATGCCAATATTCACCTCCTTGAATCGGTTTGATTTGTATTTGCTTTGCAGTACCTAAAATTGTTCTGGCGTCGCATGGTAAAATTCCTGGAAATCTTAAGTTTATGATAGTAGCTAAATCATTCAATGCTACTTGAGGTATGTTTCTTTCTCTGGCTCAATTCTGTATTTGTTGGCGAAATAATATTTTTTTTTCATATTCACTTTCGCCGTCACTTGAACTGCTGCATGATAAAATGTCATCAGTTGCAGAAGGTAAAGCTAATCTACACCTGATATAACTATGATCATTCACAATATTTTCTACGGAACCCCTTTCATTAGATGTCGACAGTATTGACGCTTGACTGTAGGTGATCTGATCTGTTGCAATATCTCCATATTCCTCGGCAGTAATTTCATTTTGTTGATAATTTGTAATATTTAAATATTCCTGTTCAATCTTTCTTCTAATAGCACCAAATCTTTTTCGCTTTTTCCACATATTTATAAAACAATCACAAAAAACAAAATACAATGCACAATAATTCAAAATGGCGACTCTGTCACTTATACAAATTAAGGCTGTACTATAAGCGTCATTTATTTTTATTGCTGTTTATTACTCTTAAAGACAGAAATAAGACAGATCGTCTGTAAAAGGGTGTACAATTACACTAAAAAAAGAAGCTGTAGAAGGGAGTTTGCCTACTTCATAATACAGAAATAAGGTTTGAGGATCACCATAATACAGCTCTAAGCTGTATTAAGTATGTGACGGTATGCAAAATGCAGCTATTGTACAGCTTTAATACTAAAATGAGATTAAAGCGTTACAGGAAACTTAAAGCTGTACATGACAGTTATCATACACTGATTTAGAACTTTAAGCGTACTTTGACTCCTTAATACAGTTAGAGCTGAATAATTACACCTAAACCGACATTATACCACTATAATGTCTTTTCAATGTTCTTATACAGCTGTAAAACAGCGTTAAGTGCTATATTGGCTGTTTTTTAGGTGTTCATTACGCTTGGTTGCTGCTTGGGATGTTTCCTAATGAAGAAACATTTCTTATGCTACTATTTTTCAAGTGTTTGCTATCGTTTTTACATGTTAAAAAAACATGTATAAACGATAGGATATGTACATAATATGTGCAAGTAGGTAGGTATTAGGCATAGGTATTTAGTTGCAAAAATTATGTTCTTACCTCTTTCATTTTATTTATCATTCTTTCGTAGGCGTCGTTCTTTTTATTTCGGTCGAAATAATCTTTAGATTTAATTTTCCAGAGTGCAGGCAGAGATTTGTATAAACTAATTAATTCAGACGTGAATTCGCGATTGTACGTACGCAAATCTGCCATTTTGAGTGACGATGACGAACGACCTCATGAAAAGACGAGCGAGCCTCGACACAAAGTACACTCGACTGTGGCTTGAACACTGAACGCCCAACCACACGCACAGACAAGTACGCGCAGGCCGGGCTTGCGCAGGCAAAATTTCAAGCAAGTCGAAAAGTGCGCAGGCCGCGCTGTGGGGTTGGCGCGTGATACAGTTTTACCAACTACACGCACCGAGTTCCGTGTACAAACCGGCCTGCGCAGGCAAAACTGTGGTGAAGCTCGTGCGTGTGGTAGGCCCATATAACGCGTGTAAAACTTTACATAGGGTTTATTCATTGGGTAACTAACTATTCATTAGCATAAGAACTGTTTACAATTCTGTTATTAGTAAGGCTTGTATATTTGGAGGTGTTGTATTCATGTTGTACTGCTTTTACCAATGTAGAACAGACGTTCTTCGTTAGCCACAAAACATTAGCTGCGTTGCTAACTGTCTTTTTGAAGCGAAAATGCTTCAATGAAAAATGTACAGAAGATAAACAATCTTATGATAATATAAAAGTTCCAGATTTCCTCACCAGTGGATGCATATTTTGTGAGGTGCCATGACAGCGTTTACAGTAATTTCACAAATAGACACTGCTTAAAATAATATAGAGATAGAGGCGTACTCAAAAACGTCAAATTAAATTAATGCTTCACTAGATCATGCGTCGTCTCATTCCATTGTTAGCGCAAAGACAGTGACAGCCTCAACTTTAGTGAAACTAAATGAAATACTTTTTAACGTGTACCTATATATATATATATAACGTGTATATATTTTTTTTTTACTGAAACTTTTATTAATGTTTAGTAGTTTATTACTTTAAGTGAAACTTAAAAGTCCATTTTAGTTCGGCGGACTGACAACATCTATCAAGACTGTTAATCTTCTGTACAATATGGAACTGGTAATTCTCGCTTCGCTTCGGTGAACACTATACTTTGTGATCGGGCTTGTATAACTAGTATTTTTAGGCTGGAAATACTGTTCGATCGATGGTCGGCGCTTTAGAAGGACGTAGCTGTCTATTCAATATATATGAACCTGAGAAATTGCTGCTTGCGTACAGCTTCGCGCGCTTATAAAAACCGTCGATTGGCGTACGTCGGTCGACCGATGTGCTATGAGAATATACACACATGGATGCTTTAAGTTCTTCGTTAACGGAGCAACCGTTTCTTGTGAACCGTTTACATCTCAGTTCGTCGTCAGCGTAGCACTAAATGCATTTTCACTATCTCCGATCGAGCACTAAATCCAGCCTAAAAGATTTAAGCGTAACGATAGTAGGAGCGTCTTTATTTTATACTACGTAAAGAAGAAGATGTATGGGTCATAGATCTGGCGGGTCAACGGTGTGGAGCGACGCGGAGCTGGAGTCGCGGCGCGCGCTCTTGCTAGCGCAGCTGCACGAGCACGAGGCCGACTGACGCCGCGTCACGCACATACACATATTTAACGACTATCCGCGGCCCCCCTCCCCTTCCACCCCCACTCCCATTAATAGGGATGACGACTAACTTTCTTCTTCGTCTAACAGGTAGATTATGAAAAAGTATTGGACACGTTTGTTTTCTTTTTGCGCATAATCAAAACATTACAGATATATTGCTTTGAAATGTCGCATGACGACAAGTCTTGATACCATTTTTTCTTAAAAGTGACGTCACGAGCCCCCACTGCCAATCTTTGATGAGCTTTATCTTTGTATCGTTAATTACGACAGAAAAATGAGTGTTCATTACTTTTTGATAATGTAACGGACGGACTAAATAGAAATTCGTATACTTGATCCAGTCATCATCCCTATATTCTACCTTTCCCTGCTACCCGACACCTCACAATGCTAGCGAATAAAGATCAAATTCCGATGTAAGCAGCCGAGACCGACAATGTTATCTTAGTTTTTAGGATTTTTATGTGAACGTGGGTTTTTTTTTACTACAGCTCAATGCAATAATGTCGAGTACTACTGCCCTCGCCGCTACTCTGTCATCTCTGCGTATACACAACACCTTGCAGTATAACGATTAAAGATAAAATTCCTACGTCAGCAGCCGTGACCGACCGAAAATTCAATGTGAACGGTTGATTTTAGAGCTCAATACGTTAATGTCGATTTATCTACAAGTAAGAAAGGATTTCAAGAAAAAAAAATATAGATTAATTTTTCGAAAGAGATAGTTCTCAATAGAGGACATTATATTATGAACAACATATGAAACAAGCAACTTCCTACTTTGGATCCCCAGATCACTTCAATGAAATAAAATATCTTTTATAAGTAGGGCGATTATCATTGTTAACTTTCCTGTCCCAAAAAATAAAATTTTTTGAGACACATACTAAACGATATTTAAATGATAAAAAAAAAACAATAATTTTACAGATTGGATTGAAACGTTTGTCAAAACATCATCCTACACCTGTAAGAGAGAATACTTTAAAGCCATAGTTCAACGCATGAGGATTTTGAATTTGTCAATATTTATATACCTACGTAAAATAAAAATTGTGTAGTATACCAATCACAGTGTTTCGGACAATTTCATAACCATTATTAATATCCAGGTAGAAATGAGGCAATAAGAGCGCTGTTGACCAGAAACCATAAGTTTTGGTATGTACTATGTAAAGTTATTATTTTTATTTTCTAACTGTTTCTATCTTCATTTTAAGTTTATTAGATGAGAGTCAAAAAAGTGCATTCAGAACCTCTCTAATGTTAGATACAATTATTTTCCATGTTTGCATTATTAAATCTCATTTTAAACAAACGAATGTGAATTAGAAGAAAACAGATATTTATTATTTTGGTGTCAAAATTCGGCTAGCTTAATATTAATTAATTTTCAAGTGTTGTTGCTATTAATAATTGTAATTAGATGTGATGCACTGCAGCTTTGCCACCCACGATCTAATTGAACTGAGGGTCTTAAATGGCGTAATTTTTTGAAACATCTAAAATAATGTTTTTTCATCAAGTGGTCTGATGACGATTCTATGCAAAACTGACATTAGATTGTTTAAGAAATTCCATATATGCCTAAAGTGCGGCCTACCAAAGAATGAGATCCTGACGGTTCCTTAGGGCAACATAATAAAGTACACTTTCGATCTATTAAAACAAGAGGTTCGAAAATAATTTCTAATTTTGCAATAATCTCAAACAATTATTATGAAACGTGCAATTCAATTTCACTATTTAGACCCCCAGCTTGGTGCCGTATGATGTGCACCCCATTACTTCCGGTCGTGCGTAGCGTAGCTGCAGAGCATCCCACCTGATTTGATAATTTTAATTTGGTCATTAAAGCAATAATATTAAATTGTTAGTTGCGATTGGACGGAAAAGTAGTTGATTGTACAATATACTGTACCTTTTATTTTTAAAAGATGTATTAAAATGTAAGAAATAAGGACATCAGCAGGTTACTACTACTGTAAAAATAAAATTAAGGAATATAACAAATTGGCTTTTCATTAAAAAACAAAATCTGTACTGATAAAAATAAATTCCTGCTTCCTTTGTTCACGCCCATAACTTAAACAACCACCTATTTCATCCATTTTTTTTCTTATACTTCGTAGAAGGCTTCGTAATATTTTAAAATGTTTTTTTAGATTTCAGGAAGCTTATGCCTAATGTTAACAAAAACAACAAGTACCTTTTTATCAGCATCGATTTATATATTATCTTTACAATTGTCAGTTTAAAATAAATTCATAGTGTGTTAAAAATATTACAAGTATAATAAAAGATAATATAACGTTACAAGAAATTAATAAATTATATGCTATTTATTCAATTAAAAGAGTGCAAATTTTTCATAGAAATAAACCCCAAGCCGATAGAAACAAAATATGTCTCGGACTTTTAGTATTATTAAATGAAAAAAATATTGTATATGTGGCATCATCAAAATCGAGCCGTTATATAAAAACAGCAATAGGGATATAATTAGGAAAGCACTATCTCAACGAAGATTCTCGAATTATTATGCTGCGCTTAGTTTTAATAGACAGTGCCGTGACGACCTGCAAGCACAGGCTCTTGTTTCTTATTTATATGAGCGAGATAGAAATGCAACTACTTACGAGAGTGATTGAAAGCGGAAGCGGTTATATATTTGGTGCATTCACTGTAAACCGACTGCTGCGTGTTTTACTAAACTAAGGTTCTTATTTGTTGATTAAAAAAATCCTGCAAACGAAAAATGACAATTTAACACACTTAGCCACCAATTTCAATACTGCAAAAGTTTTTATTTCTGTCAGGCTTGGGTTTTTATCACTCATTTAGCCATCGAATTTTGACGATGCCATCCTATACAATATTTTTTCATTTAATAAGACTATAAATCTTACCCATATTTCGTGTCTGTTGGGCTTTAATAAAATAATAACCATATTGATACAGCAATAAGGACCCATAACAAATACTTTCCTAGGGGAATAAGACTTCATCTTTCTACCCCATGTCCCAACTTATTTAGGGTGGTGGTTAGCGTAGTATGTAGGTTGATAATAACTTGATTATTACTGTAATGTATATATTAATAAAAACGAAATTCTTGATATTAAATAACCTATCTGAAAAATATTCTTGCACTGGTAAGGCTGTAATATAATAATTTATATTCTTCCTCAATTATTTTTAATTTCTTTTCTGTAAGAGCTAAAGCCTGTTGTAATTGAACGGACCCTTTTGTTTTCTGTTCTTCAAGTAGTTTTCTTTCATCTTTTATGTATTTCCAAACAGAGTCGAACCAATGTAGTGATTCAAAGTCAGAGTCCTACAAAAAAAAGCATTGAATTAAAACATTTTTTTGTTAAATAGTTGGGTTCATTTATGGACCTAATAAAAATGTTTTACCAAGATACTTTACACAAAAACCTATTTGTCTTTTATCGATTAATTAGTGGCCCGCCCTCGCTTCGCTTCGGTGTAGAGCTGTAGTGTAGGCAGACTATAATTTTTGTTCTCGGGCAGTGAATTTCTTCCTTGAAAATTTATTTAACTGATAGTGAAAATTTTGTTTTGTACTTTAGGACCCGTTTTACCGAATGCAACTTTTTTTGGTTGAACCCGCAAATCTCAGGAACTAGTGGTCGTATTTGAATTTGAACATCACGCTGCGACCAGTAGGAGCGGAGGGATCATCGATGTAAAATGTTGCAAAATCGGGTAAAAATATTCCATTTGTGAAATTCCGTTGCGTGCTCTGCTTAAATGACTAAAGTTACACAAAAATCATGGATGTAAAATCATGTGTAAAAATCGGAATTGTTCCCCTTTTAAAAGTTCTATAAAAAAGTCCGCGACAGGATATGCTCATCTTTTAAGTTTGGCTCACTGTTACCTTTTTCCTCAAATTAACGCGGGTGAAACCGCAGAACTTTAGTTGTGACAACTGTAATAGTTAGACATATATTATGGTAGATATCGCGGACTTTTTTGTAGATATTGATGTCCTCTATAAAACTTTAGTTCAGCATTTTGATCTACTATCAATGAATTCCGTAGCGTAAGCGATATAAGTTTATTTTTTGGTATTCTTTTTTAAACTTTGTACCCTAACTTTTTGAAAATACTCTATAGCGTATGTTCAACAGGGATAATGAAAGATTCTAAACGTGAAAGATTTTTGAAATCGGTCCAGTAGTTTCGAAACCATATTTAATACAAACAAACGAACAAATCTTATCTCTTTATAATATTAGTATAGAATAGATAAAGGTCTGCCAATATTTTCGCGGAAAAAGTCCTTGAATCGTGAAGAAAATCTCCGCCGAGGACTTGTCACGGATTCAACACACACGATTTGCGAACATTCGCCCCCTGAAAATTTGAGTAAACATTCTCAGATTACGTTGTGTTGTAATTAACATAAAGTTTAAGAAAGAAGACGTTTTCAAAGAGAATACTGGGTCCATCTTTTCAAATCGGATCGTGCGCGCAACGCGGACCTAAGTTCGTTGTGTGCGTTGCTGAGCCTTGTCATGAGTTAAAATTTTTTCGGTGACACCCGCGTGTTATTGTCCTGTCCGGTCTCTTCGGAGTCCCCGGATGTTCCGAGGGATTTTTGTACCTGGGATTTTTCATATCTCGTAAGCGTTACCTACTCGATGCAGTGATCTATTTTCCCGGACAATTGTCCCTCGTCTGCGCATGCTATTAGATATATGAGATGTCTATGTCAGATCAGCAGGGCCACATTTGATGGCCAAGAAAATTTTATTGCATAATATTCTAGTCCGTAGCGTGGGTACAAAACAAACTACGTATTATGACTGTGTACCTAGGGCTTCCATTCCGTAATTACGTAATTACGCAAAGATTTAACGCTTCTGAAAAGTCCGTAACTGAAGGGTTGAAATCCGTAATTACGTAATTGTAGGAATTTTTTAATTAAGAATATAAATAACTTATTGAACCATTAAAACACAAATTATCAGCTCATTGGTGGCAAGTTGGCAACATTGAACATTATTCTAAACAAGGTGATATGACAATTCAGTCAACAATGAAATCTAACAAGCGGGTATTTCCCCGTATACAATAAATTGAATCTAGTAAAAGTCTGTGGTTCCGGGCGCGGCTTATTTTAGAAACCGAAGAAACAGAAACCTTTATTAAACCGACGACAGATTTTATATAAGGACATATTTTAGAAGATTATTAGAAGTCCAGGACAACAAACAAGCATGGCACTTACAGACTCTAGTGACGAAAAGTTAACTGTGGCCGAGGAATTAGAAAAACAGAGCAAAGCTAAGACAAAAGTAAACAAATAAGTTGATTTATTTAAAATAAAAGCTTTTTCTTTATGTCATAATTTTTTTTTTACATGTTTCATTGTCCCTTTCCTAAATAATTAAAGAAAACATTGGATTTAAAAAGATATCTCAGAAATTACGTAATTACCCCATTAAAATTTGTAATTAGTTACGTAATTAACATATCCGTAATTTTGGAAGCCCTATGTGTACCCCAGGAGGCTTGTAAAAATAAAAAGTATTCTCTTGTCCTTGTGCCCATGTTCAAGAGAAACTTTTGTTACATGATCAAATAATACGTGGGGGGGGGGGGCATATTAAACCCATTTGTACCTATAAAACATGCTAGTAACTATTTATAGACAGTAATAAAATTACTATATATTACCTGGTCTAATAATTTCAATATGTAAGCTATGCCCATTGCAAATCCATCATCAGTAAAGGCAGCCCCTACTTTATTTTTCTTTGTCATTTTATCCTTTGATAGTATCATATGCTCTATAAAATTTAAGGTTAGTGGTGGTATAATAATAAAGAAGTTTCGCAAATGGACATTCTTTGGGTTTCGAAAAACTGGCGCAAATACATCTACTAGTAACTTGAAATATTCAGTGCCCTGTAAAAAGTTTGACACTAAACTGTTTACTGTATTGTCTAAATTTTCAGATGAATTAACAGATTTTGATCCTAAATTTTCTTCACACATTTCTTTAAAAGAACTTGTAGTGTCTAAATTTGGTAAAAATACTGTGGCATCTGAACAACAATGTCTTCCCCCTGATCTTATCATCCTCACATATCCCATTGCATTGCCAATCTGGCTTATGAGATCACGAAATAAATCCAAATAACTAAGACCATCATCAGCTGTTCCAAGAACTCTGATTCCTTTGTTAAATTTGTCAGCATATTTATATGGATACATATTTCCACCATTAGAAGTAGCATCTTTAAAATTTCGGAGGTCCTTGATGAGTCTGGATTTTATATGTTCATCATACATGAACTGAGAAAAAGTGAAAAATTTCTTTTTTAAAAATTGATAAGTAAAATTAACTGTTGTATTCATAATCCCTGTTCCATGTGTTCTTATTGAATTGGCCACATGTCTGATATTGATGGAATTTAGGTGTTTATTATTGCTACTTTTTTCAATAAATATTTGATTATTTAAATTGTAGAGATATTTTGATACAAAAATGTGAATATTTCTCATTATTTCCAACACATCCAATCCTTGTTCAAGAGTTTGCGTAGGCAAATTATCTTGGACTGTTTTAAGGTTGAATTTAAACCTGGCCATCTGTCTCATTTCCCCATATGTTTTCCAGTCTGAAAGTACTACAGTAGTCAAGTTGTAATACATAGTGGACAAATAATGTTCCACTGATGGTACAACACACATGTATGCACTTTGGATTCGTAGTTTGTCAATAGCTAGTAACAATTTCTTAGTCATATTTGTAGCGAAAGGATTATTAACATCCAACTGCAAATGAGAATGAATGTGTAAACGTAAATTTGTTTCTATGTTTTGACTTGTGTTATTTATAATATTTTCATTTATTAAGCTTTTCATTTCACTCAGAAATTCTTGAGATTTATAAACATTAAAAAGATTGTCTGTATCATGCAATAACAACATACAGTCTTCCAACACCATTAGAAAATATTTTACTTTCAACGCATTCAACTGTACATTAAAATTTTGTTCAAAATATATAGGTATCACATTCTGATGCCATAATAACCAAGAACAATTACAAAGATTTTCAAAGGTATTTGTGTAATTAGACAATATTTGTACTTTTTCCAACAAAATAGCTAATCTTGCATAACTATCATCTGTATATGTACTCTCTGGAATCAAACTTAATGCTACATTTGCAACTATATTTCGTTCTACAGTTGTTGCACCTTTTAAAGCTTGTTCAGCTATCACAACACAAGTTAATTCATCTAGCCTCTTGTTTGCATAATTTTTATCTCCCACCAAAGATTTTTTCATTTCTTGAATGGATAATGTTGCTTGGAAAATCAAATGATGCAGAATCATATGAATAGAATTGATTATTTGGAAATTATTGCGCACAACAACATTTTGCAAACTCTTCAATGTATCAATTATATCAAATAATGACATAAGTACACTTTTGGACAAAGGTATTCCTAAAGAGAGGTGGAGACTGATAAGTGTAAGAATAGAATAGTTAATGCCAGAAATTAATTCCAAGCCTTCAAGCAATACTTTAGCATGCTGTGTCATTTCAGCAGCATTCAGTTTGTTGTGTTTCATTGAAAATATCTCTTCTATAGTCAGGGTCCAATTAGTACACACTAACTGTAAGTGTGATACATCTTTTGATAGAGTATTTTTTCTAGCAGCAATATAAGCCTGTCGAGCTTTCAACATTATTTGTGATACTTTCCCATAACTTGCACACAATGCTGATAAATGTCTTTGAAGGAATTGTTCCGGAAACCACACTGTGGTCCCAATAACATGGACACTGTGAGCCTAAAATTTATAATGATGTATTAATACTTTAAAAAACTAAAGTTACTTCATATTATATAACATTAAAATATGTAGGTAAATAAATACAAACCTTGATATTTAGTTCAATAAGTGATTTGAATAACTTTTTATCATTATTCCCAAATAAATAAGAACTTAGAACAAAAAGAGCATTCATTTTAATACACTTGTACATATTGGCTAAATTTGGCTTGTCCTGGACCAATTTATCGAGATTAACTATAGCTTGTTTTAGGTACTGCATGAATTCTCCTGATGCATTTGAACAATTTTTGTCAACTAAGCCTTTTCGAAGTGTTAATAAACTTTGAAGTGTGTTTTGCACTATATCATCATGCATAAGTTTACATCTGATATTTTCAATAGCTCCAAGTAAAGCCTTTAAACTGTCTTCAGTCAAATTCAATTTTTCAGGTGTTTGACTGAATGTATGTAAAGTTTGACAGTATTTGCTCCATTTTGATGCCAATGATGTACTTGATATCAACAGCTCCATTAAAACAATAAGTGTAAAAAGTTCACCTATATAATTTATAACATAGTGCAGTTGAATCGCATCTAGAAATAGATTTTTGGTAAGTTGTAATAAAATATTTGAAATGAATCAAAATCTAATAAGTCTATAAAAAACAAATATTACAATGTGTCAATTTGTTGTATGACTCTAGAATGATACATTGTAATATTTTGTTATTCTATTGTGACATACTTAAATTGACTATTCCTTCTGTGAAAACTGCAAAGACTTGACTACACATGTTCCGAAGTGTGTCATCACACCGAATATAGAATGAGTTTAATGAACATATGGTGTTTACTTGAAAGGTAATACTGCTGCTACCATATTCTTCATAAACTGCTAAGAAGGGGAAATATCTAAAAATAATATATTGGTTTATGAAATTGTATTAGTCAATACTATGTTATTATTGAATTATTTCAGCAAAAGCTTACCTGTCAAAAGCTTCTTTTTTCAATCGAATAACTTCAACACAGAGTGATGATAATGCACCTAATACTTTGGTCATCATAATATTATCAGATGAAACAAGTCTGGTGACTGGAATTAGCTCTGTAGGCTCCATAAAAATTTGTATTGGTTGAAATGTTTTATTGTCTTCCCAAATTGCATTATTATTTAATAAAACTAATTCCTGGTATTGTTTTTTGAAGAATTCTCCATAACTTTTGAGAATGTAGGAACCGGCTTCTTTGTCAGCATCGACCCCCATATTATTTTCTTTACCAAATCACTGAGCAAGAAGTTTAATTACTCCGTTTTATTTTGCCCGTATAACTGATAACAGCAAACTACATACACCAAACTAAATTATTAGTGGTAAATGTTTAAACTAATTTTAATACCACCCCTCGAACCAGTGTTACCAGAAAGCCATTTCGCCTTCGACAATATTTTACTAAAAACTAGTGTTGCCCATCGATAGTCTATCGATAGCCAACCAATCGTATGACAATCGATCGGCTTATCGATAGCACAGAAAAAGCCAATACTATCGGAAGTGTTAAATACTATCGATAGCATTGTAGTTCGTTAATAACAAACTATCGATACTGTCGATTTTATTTGCAACCATACTATCGATAGTTAAACAATTTGCAAATGTATTGTTTACAATTTTCAGGTATAATAGTCAATCACAAACTTTAGTCTAGAACAATCGCTAGAATCGATACTATCGATAGTATTGTTGCAGATAAAATCAACACTATCGATAGTATCGATACTATCAATAGTTTGTTATTAACGAACTACAATAGTATCGATAGTATTGTACTCATTCGATAGTATTGCCTTGTTCTGAGCTATCGATAATATCGATTCTATCGGTTGTATCGATTCTATTGATAGGGTACATGATTTTCGATCTAAACTGTCGATAGTTTTAATATCGATAGTTCGGCAACACTACTAAAAACGTTTTTTTTTTTGTTAAAGTTCTCCCGTTTTAAGGCAAAGGGAACAATGCCCATACAGCCTGGTCTTTAACTAAATTAATCTTCTTTTTGTTTTTACATTAGAATGTCAGTGTTACGCATTCTAATGTTTCTTGGAGTGTTTGGCACGAAATGTATCGAGTTGGATTTTTCGATAAGCTTCTGTGAGGTAGTCAACACTACAATAAAATTCTCACGTCCACTTGACCGGAATAGCGTATATTTTAATGATTCCACTAATTCTTCAGTTACGCAGACAGTTGTTACACAAAACAACACCAATTTTATTTCACAATATCCACTATGGACGAATTTAAGAATAATTAAAATAAGATGCCAACCGCACTCGATGAAATCCCGCCAAAAACTCCAAAAACGTATTTCTGAAATGCAGTGTTGCCAGGTCTGATTTTTAAAAATCGGGAGGCGTTCTAAAAGGCGTAATTTTTCTGATTTCATAATTTTGTGACAAGAGTCTAACACCCATATTCTTAGTCGTTTCCTCGAGATTTTTTCCACTCGACTCAACCTCATTGGAGGAAATTCGTATGCTTAGACAACAAAAATATCCTTCACTTGAGATATTCCTCACTCGAGTGGAGGTCGAGTTGAGGAATAAACTGTCAAACTCAAGGTAGCTCTCGACGTACCTTAAGGCTTCCTCGAGTGGTGTTTAAGGTGTATTCAAGTTTTATGTCTGATTTTGAAATTATTGACGAATTTGTGGATTTTATGTATTACGTATACGATTTATTTATTTATTTATTCAGTAACACATACACGATGATTAACCATATAATTTTCCGGCGCGACGGTATTTACGTGATGCCGCAAATCCTTTTAAGGTTTACGACAATGGTGTCGATTCTGACATGATTCTCTAAACTTAAAACTAAATTTAACATCAGTCTGTCCTTTTTATCCTCTATAGAGAATGACAGGGATACACTGTTGTCAATTTTAAGTTTAGCTTTAGAGAATCATGCCAGAATCGACACCAATGATTCGTTTCAAAGAAGATTTCGGTTTAGAAAAGATACAGTCATACAAGTAATATTTCCTCTGTTAACCATTATAGAAATAAAATCCTCCAAATGATGACGTCACAATGTTGAGGAATTCTCAGTGGAGGAATTCTCAAGTTTGTTCAAGATACCAACTAGAATACCATTTTCGAGGTTATTTGGAGGAACTCCTTAAGGAGCCCTCGAATGAGTTTGAGTCGAGGAACGTTTGAGGACGCGATTAAGAATATGGGTGTTAATCCTTCTCATGCTCTATACCGATTGAGAAAGAGAGACTGACAGACTGTTGATTGACTGTTGATCGCGACTTTTTACAGATTTAACGATTAACGAAGTGGTATTATTTTTATATAAAAAAAGGAATTAAAAAACCCCCATATAACCGCAAAATACTTTCCCCCCAATTATCCCCACATCGCTTCCAAAACCCCCCAAATTTGTGGGTGAATCAGTGCCTCGAACACCAAACATAGTTTTTTTTTAATTTATTGGCAATGGATACATTGTCCTTATGCCTAACCAAACATAGGGTGCGGCCAGAGTGCACTCAGATTCAGATTCAAATTCAGATTTTGAAAACAAGCGCGAGAAATAAACAGTGTAGTCTAAGCAGGTTGCCTGCTTTTTCTCGCGCTTTGTTTTCTTGTCCCTAGGGGCCGTGTTCACCTTGGCGGGGAAGGGCGCTACCTCTCCGCCTTCGTCCGCTCCGCCTCTAAGTCTCAAAACACCTCCTAACGCCTCAGTAGCAAATTTAACACCAGGGGTACCGTAATCCCCCTGACGCCGTTGGCCAACCGGAGCGGATAGGCCGCTGCTAACAAATTTAACACCCTGGGTAGGAGCTTCCCCAGGGCGCCCGGTGTCAGCGGGATCGCAGGACAAACGCATAACATTGTCCGACATATTCATACAAAAGGTCCCTCTTCCGGGCGAGGGAACCCTACCTGGCCTCGTCAAAAGGTAATTTTTGAAAAGGTTTTCTTCCTTGCAGCCCCCGTCGCGAAGGACGGCGGTCCCTGTGTGGGGACACCACGTGTGGGGTTACGGGTTAGCCGGAAGCGACGCGGAGTTCGCGCCGCAACCGTCCTCACCAATGGCGTTTACCTAACCTATAGAGTCTCGACCACCGCTACCCGGGCTACCCAGGGCGCCGGCAGAGACTCTTCGGGTGATTTTTTAGAGAGGTTGTCTTCCTCGCAGCCCCCGCCTCCAAAGGAAACAGTTCCTTTGCAGACGGCGGCCCTCAGCCCCGCACTATGTGCAGGGTTACGAGCTTGACTCGACTGTCGCTACCCGGGATACCCAGGGCGCCAGCCGAGAACACCACCGAGTAATTTTTTAGAGAGGTTGTCTTCCTCGCAGCCCCCGCCTCCAAAGGAAACAGTTTCTTTGCAGACGGCGGCCCTCGGCCCCGCACTATGTGCAGGGTTACGAGTTTGACCCGACTGCCGATACCCGGGATACCCAGGACGCCAGCCAGGTCTCCACAGCTGGGTATGGTCCACGCCGGCCGAAGCCGGTACCTCCCATCCGCCACCCGAGAGGGCGCGCCCGATAGCAGACCCAGCCACACTGCCACGGGTGGAAATTTTAACCTGAAGAAAACTACCTACTTAATCATGGTTGGATTTGGAACTTACCTGGACATTTACATGTTTCTACGAAAAGGGGACCTCAAGGACTACAAACGACTGCATCAAGCAATTTTGGACTGCATTTTACTTGAAATTTCGCAAAAAGATTCTAAAAAATTTTGAATTTTGCAAGATCTCTCACTGGTGTCAATTCTGGCGTGATTCTCTAAACTTAAAACTAAATTTAAGGTCAGTCTCACCTTTTCATTCTGTATAGAGTAGGACAAGGATGCACTGTTGTCAAATTTAAGTTTAGCTTTAGAGAATCATGCCAGAATCGACATCGATGATGAAGAATGAAAAGGTGAGACTGACCTTTAATTTAGTTTTAAGTTTAGAGATGCACGCCAGAATTGACACCACTGTCAACTTAAATCGTAGATGGACCGAAGCACATAGAGTGCAAAAAACATTCATGAAAAAGCAAATGAACTGGTTAGAAACAAGAATTAAGTGGCCTGAATGCGAATCCGTGAATCACTCCGAAATTTTTGAAGTGGCCGAAAATTTGGATCATCGTTCCACAGAAGAAGAAGCAGCTGTTTTACCCTTTGCTTCTACTTCTGACATGGGCACTTCTACAGATATCGTATCAAGAAAGCCATTTGAAGACCTAGGAAACAAACAGAAGAAAAGGCGATCGGGTACATTATTTGACTATCCGGAAGAGGAACTGACTTTTGCTTTTATCACAAAACTAAAGTGTAATGGAAAAGAAGGTCTTACTCGCATCATCGATCATCTTATGGAGAATCCTGAAAAGGTTGGAGTTGTCGAATAATTTTTATTTATGGGCCTAATATGGGTCGGGTCTTGGCGCGCCAGAAGCACATCGTTTTGAAACATTTACTATGTTTAGACACATATTTACGTGTCGTGTTGTGTCGACGCACTAAACTTTCTCTCTCTAACCCATAATAAATGTATGAAATGAAACCGATGCGTCAACTCACGTCACGCCAGGACGCGATAATATGTTTCTGGCTTAAGAAGGAGTTGGAAAGACTACGAGTGCGAAGATGTTGATTCAATAATGGATGCTATTGCAGAAATACATATTTTGTAGTAAATATTGTATTTTGAATAAATATTTTCAATGTTGGGGGGTTCTTGCTTTTAAAAACTTGTATTTTGGGGGGATTTCGAGTAAGTTTTGGGGGGAAGGAGAAATGGCTTTCTGGTAACACTGTAGCAGGTTCACGATTAGTAAGCTGTTAGAATCGTGGCACTCCCACTTGCAATTATTTTTGATTTTGAATATGGCAACATTAGAACTGTCACTTTGAAGTTTGAAGTTTATGTACGGGATACCTCCTCAGGATTTTGTTCGTTTTATTCGGAATTCTGGTTAACTGTAGAATATTCTATTTTTCAAAATGGACCAAATGCTTCCAAGCCCTTATAACATTCCTGGTATTGGGACACCTTTACACCAACCTGAAGAAGACCAACAAATTTTGCCAAATGCCTTGCAACAGCAACAACAGCCGCATCAACAACAACAATCCCATTCCTTAGCTACCATGGCGTCTCCTCTGGTCGGCTTCAGTCTTGGTACACCACAAAGATCCATGCACACCTACGCTCCAACAGCTAGTTATGCTACACCGCAACAAATGATGCAACCCCAGACTCCAGTAAGTTTCAACTCCTTTATAAGATTTACCATTTGATTATGGTAATCAATGAAAATTCATTCGAACCTATTGTTTTTTTAGCAAAATATGATGTCTCCAATGATTACAAGCAGCAGCTTGGTGGGGCAGCAAATGCTAAGCCAAGCGAGTCCTGCACCTATGACCCCCATGACTCCTCATTCCGCCGACCCTGGGATTCTACCACAATTACAGTTAGTATGCAATACTTCATTATTTGTTGTATTCCATTCTCGATACAAAAATAGTCTGTTGAATTTAATAAGAGAGAGATTGATTTATTACAAATTTTTCAAATTCAAACATTTTTACTTGATAAATATTCAAATAGTCAATATCTTTTTTTATATTTTTCAGAAATATTGTTTCAACTGTTAATTTAAATTGTAAACTAGATTTAAAAAAAATAGCACTACATGCGCGTAATGCTGAATATAACCCGAAACGTTTTGCTGCTGTAATCATGAGAATAAGGGAACCAAGGACCACTGCTTTGATATTTTCTTCAGGAAAAATGGTTTGCACTGGTGCCAAAAGTGAAGAAGACTCACGATTAGCTGCAAGAAAATATGCTCGGATTATTCAAAAACTTGGGTTTTATGTAAGTATTTAATTAATGTTTGATTATAAAAGAAAACAAGTATCTTAAGAACTTGTCTTAATAGGGATGATGACTATTTTTTTTTTCTTCGTTTATCAGGTAGATTATCATAAAGTATTGGACACATATTTTTTCTTTTTTCACATAATATAAACATTGCAGAGATATATTGATTTGAAAAGTCGCATAACGTCACGTTTGAGTACACTTATAAGGGAAAATTCACTCAAAAGTGACGTCACGAGCCCCTACTCCCAAACTTTGACGCGCTATAACTTTGTCATTTTTTGGTTGATTGTCCAAATAAAAAATGTGTCCATTATTTTTTGATCATGTAACTGACGGACTAAAATGATTTTTTAACATTATTAATCATATTTATTATTTGTAAAATACATGTAAAGTATTTCGTCAATCGGAGACAGTACTGGAACATCTCCGAAATTTGAGGTTTTGAGTTAATTAGAGAATTCAAAGAATTCAAAAACTTTGAAAATGAATTCTTTAATTTTAGTTCAATGGTTAGGTTGCATTCCAAACCTACACTCTAAGTGCAACTTTTTACTTTGACGTTTCAATTTTGGCATAAAATGTATGAAATTTATGTCAAATTTGGCATTTGTTGTATCTGGAGCATAGGTTTAGAACACAGACTTCTTAAACTCGCTACAATGCATTCTGATTTAAGGTTTAGTTTGCATGATTCAATACTTGGTGCAAAGTAGTCTTATTAGTACAGAGTATCAATGTTTTATTATCGAGTACTATTATGAAATCAAAAGTACTAATATTAGTAAAGTATCAAATTCAATATTGTGTCCCTGTATGTACATAAAATATTAAAAGCTAACAATACTCACATTTATAATAGTAGTAGGAAAGTAGGATTATAGTAGGATAAAATAAAAATAGAAATTGAAACATAAAATATGTTCCAATTAGTCATGTGTTGCCTCATTCTATTGGTATCTTAAAACTTAAATGTTAATCAACTAGTCTGAGTGCAGCCTTAAGAAGATGAAAATAAATTGCTGTTGTTTGTTCACTGACAATATGTTTAGTTGTAATCACAATAGGTACTGCAATTTACTTGTACAGTGGCATGGGTTGTAGGTAATCCATACCACTGTACAAATAAATTACATGTACCTATTAGTCCATACTTATGCTAATTTATAATAAAGATCAAATTAAAGCAAATGAGTGTGTATAATATTAATTTGTACTAACAGTTTTTTTTTATTTCAGCAAGCAAAATTTTTAGATTTCAAAGTACAAAATATGGTTGGCAGTTGTGATGTAAAATTTCCAATACGATTAGAAGGTCTTGTTTTAACCCATGGACAATTCAGCTCTTATGAACCAGAGTTGTTTCCGGGACTCATATATAGAATGGTAAAACCAAGAATAGTCCTGCTAATATTCGTGTCAGGTAAAGTTGTGTTAACTGGTGCTAAAGTGAGACAAGAAATTTATGAAGCTTTTGATAACATCTATCCTATTCTCAAAAGCTTTAAAAAACAGTAGTGGAGAAGTATTAAAGCCACAAAGACTCATCTTCAAGTGTTCTAATAGTAATAAGTTATATTTGTAAGCAGTTAATAAATGTTATTTTAACTATTATGTTTGAATTATTATTACTAGCTTTTAGTTAACTCCTACCTGTCCGTCATTTGTGCTTGTTTTATTTGTATTTTCAGAGACTCAAAGATTTTTATTGGCCGTAGCTCAGAAGTAAAAAAAAACTGAACTCTTATGGCCAGTTTGTTAGATAGTTCAGTTTTTTTTTAATATTTAAACAGAGAAGATTTAAACATTGAGCAGTTACATGCTTAAAAAATAAAAAATATAACTATAATTGCTATTTCTTCTTTCAAATGGTTAATGCTTGTAAAGGTATTCATTTGACATTGTGGGTTTCTACAATGCGAAGAGATGGCGCTGCCTTGCAGCTTAAGAAAGGCTAGCAAGAATTCGGCACGGCCATCAGAGCCGCGGTAGCATAATTCGTCAGTGCATTCGCCTGGATAGCGAAAGGTGCGGGTTCGAGTCCCGTCTCTTGCCTGGTTCGGTTGGAATTTTTTCTAGTTATATTTTCTTTGGATTTAAACATAGAGCAGTTACATGCTTAAAATGAAAAATTGTGACTTGCACTTAGAACTTAAAATATTGTACACTTTCTTGGCAAAATAAAATATTATTATTTTGTCTCGAAAACATGCCCTCAGGATCTCAGACAGAAGCATACATAAATATAAGGAAAACAAGGGCCTGCATCAGAAAACGTCTCTGACATATTAATTTACACAGGCTTACGGTTAGCGTAACCCAATTATTTAATTCGTAAGTAAGTTCATTTTTGTAATTTATAGGGTGAGATTCCAGACTGCTAAAAGTGTAGCAAAATAAAAATAATAGCATATAAACTAAACGATCGCTACTTAATATATATATATGATCGTGATGTTCTTTACAGAAGCAACTAACTACGCAAGGTGATGGCAAAAATAATGGGATGAATGAAATGAAACAACAAAATAAAAATATGACGTTGGTGAAAAAAAAAATGAAGGTACCTAAGCGCAACCAAAAAAATAAGGCAAAAATTTACTGCAAGCTGTTACGGTAACCCAAGATTATTCAGTTATGTAGCCCTATCCTCATAAATCACAATATTATTCATTTATCAATTATTTAAATTACAGCAGTTGAAATTAATCACAATATTAGGAAATAATCGTATTTGTTACGAAACTGAATTACGAATTTAAATTAGCACAGTATTATAAATAACAATAGCAAATGTCAGTAATTAATATTGACACAATATTAGAATTAAAAGATTATTTTAAGATAGGGTAGAAATAGCCATATTATTATTCAATACAGTTACCCCGATTTACCCCAATTCCCCGTGGAGCCCAGGAACCTTACTCAGCAAAGTGTAGCTTCACTACGATTTCTGTAAGGTGGAGGTAACTTCCCCAGACCGGCACTGCAGTTAGTTAGTTGGGTTATATCAACGTAACAATTAACAATAAATACAAAATTAAATAATAAGCACACAAAGCAATGAGGGCTATCGCGTATGAATCCGCCGCTAGAGGCGCTAGTGTAGCGTGAGGTCTCCGAAATGTCAAATGTTATTGCTTGTTGGTTGACTACGCGGGCTTATTTCTAATTAAAATAATGTTGTGAATAATTGGTAACAATTCGGCTTAATTATGGCAAATATGAGTTATGTGGCAATGAATGTCAGTTATTAAAAATTTGAGCTTAGAAAAATGATTATGTTCCCATTTTTTCCGAATAAAACGGAACTGCGCGTCACTGTGGCATGGCCTATTATGTTTAGGATATGGTTCTTTTGTGTTAAAATACGATCTAAATGTAATCTTTGATTTCATGTGCGTATTAATAAACTTTAAAAGTTACAATTTAGGACCTCACTCAACAGTGGCGCAATCTGGTGAGGCAGAAAACGGTAGCCCTCATTACAATTAAAGTATACTGATTTATGAGATAGGTACGTACCATTTTGTTTAATCACTTCACGCTCACAGCAACGACTCAAAAAACTGCACCACGGACACCTAGCCTGAGGAAAACTGCTAATACGCAATTTAGGCCACCAGGCCCCATGTTGGGCGCCACTGCGGCCATTAGGGGTCGCAGTGGGTTCGGAAATAAAAGATTTACTTAGTTGAAAATAAATTTCTTTACTGTGCCCAAAGTACAGTTATGTGGCCGTCACGTCTTCGCAGGTGGGAGGGTAAAAGAAAAGGTGCCAGGCCTGGTGGGATCCGTTCCGCTGATCAGTAGAAGCTCCAGCTTCTTCCCCAACTTCAGGCGTCAGTAATAACGTCGTCGGGTACTGCCAACGAAATTCCGTTATGATTTCAAATGGTGCAGTTGTTTCCCGGCTGAAGATCCTCAGGCAGCCTCAGGGAAACAGGAGTCAATCTTCTTCATGCGTTAAGGGTAGTCTTAGTACCTAGAACCCAAAGGGCAGCACCTTAGTAATTGCTCCTTATCTCTCAAGGCGGTTCCAACGGCCAACGGTTCAAAATTTAAATAGGAATAAGACAGACTGGCGTTACATCATTACAGCTGTTGTAAAGCCTAGACAATTATGAAAACACCCCAGCGGAAAACTATTGGACGTTAGTTCACTCGCGGTGTACTTTTTTCGAGAACAAGGAGCGCAGGCGCCCGCTATCAGGGTCAGACTAAAATTAAAATCATACGGCGCGGCGACGCATTCCTAACACAGACTCCGCCCACGCGACGTACTAAAGCGTAGCTGTAGTTTACTAATACGAAAGAGTCAACGGTACAATCTCTTGAACTGCCGTCATGTTATTTATTTATTTAAGTCAATAAAAGGGGTTTGGGTAAAAGTGGCTTGATTTTCAAAGTCTGCGACCACGAATGATTTATTTTTTATTGAATAGAACTAAAAATATTAAAAATAAAATATTAAGGCCATATATCTATAAAGTACATCGAATCCAAGATATGATTTTTTAAAATAGAATAATCGTAAATTTATATCATTAAATCTTACGTGCTTTTTTGTATGAATAGGCTAGTTGACTCATGTCGAATTGTATTAAATAAATGTTTATTTCTTAAAGTATTTGGTCTAGGGAACCTAAATATATCGATTTCTCTTCATAAAAGCAGAAGATTGCTGTAGAAATTTAATTTGAAAAAATAATTTTTAGTCTATACTTTTTAAACACTAAAAACGCTGTTCACCACATCCGCCATGATTGTGACGTCTCTTTTAGTAAACAACTAAATGTCATTCATACATAACTTTAAAACTTGTATTATTAAAACTGATAATAAATGAAGAGACTTAAAATATTATTCAATGAATACTTACATCAAAGTGATCTTCGCAAAAATAAATTTTACTATGAGTCGATAAAGTTGCAGGATCACTTTTAGCAAGTTCTAACCAGGTATTGCGTAGGTTAATTTCTTTCGGCACTTTAATCCACAACTTTCCTGGAGTCTTCAAGGTTTTTTTTTACATTCTCGTACAATACAATAATGATAATTACTATATTTTTCGTGGTATCTATTAGAAATCATGTTTTTTTTATTATAAACTCAGATAAGTTATTTTCTACGTGCTTACGAGTTTTTGTTTACTACCGTCGACGTCATAGCATAGATAATCTATAGACTAAAATGGCCGACAGCGTTTTTGTATGTCCATGAAAAGTCTATTTTAAAATTGAAGATTTGTAGCTTTCTAGGTCTCAAAAAAATACAATACATTTTTTTTCGGTCTAATAGAACATTTATTAACCATTTAAAACCTTTTTCCAAAAAGGGTCAACTAGCCTATTGTTGTCTAAAACATACCATATAAGTTAATAACGGTTTAACAGACCATTTTTTGTCTGGTTTGACCGCCTCAGCCAATCACATCAGTATTTGGATATTCCACTTAGGTCTCATGTATGTGAAAATCATGTCAACTCTATATATATGCCAGTGTAGCTGTCCGGCACGGTGCATTGCGCCGGATCCCCACGGGCAGAGTCATGGGACGGGCGCAGCCAGGGCGCGCACTCGTTCTCTCATGTCCGCTCTTCTTCGGCGGGACGGAGCGGCCAGGGGATCATCCTCCCGCTCGCTCTCGGCTGCCTCATTCTACGAGAAGATGTTCTTGCTTTTGCAAGAACGTCTTTTTCTCGGAGGCAGCCCAGCCGCCTTCCATGCCGTCTCGCTACTGAGCATGGCCTCTACCTGTTCCACGCGATTAGGTCGCAGCGCTGCTGTAGCCAGGCCGGGCACTCCAACAAGGTGTGCTCGGTCGTTTCGTCCGGGGCGTCGCAGTGATGGCACTGCGGCGTTACTTCCCGGCGGGCGATACGGTACAGTTAGTAACCGAAGCATCCGTGTCCGGTCAGTATCTGCACTATGCGGAAAAGAGGCCGCCACAACGGCTTACCGCAGTGCCGACCGACGCCAGGCAAACCGCCTCGTCTACCGACTTTGCCTTCGCCGCCACCAACGTGTCGTCGGCGAAGCAGACAACCTCCGTGCTGAGAAGAAGGCTGCCTCGCAGCACCCAGTCGTACCCCAGGTTCCAGAGCAGTGGACCCAGCACTGACCCCTCGGGTACCCCTGCGGCCATGGCCCGAGAGCATACGCTTCCATCGGGCCCCTCGTAGAAGACTGATCTCCCCTGTAGGTAGTCGTCCACGACGGCTCGCAGGTATGAAGGCACGCAGTGAAAACGCAGTGCCTCCATAATACACTCTTGGGGGAGACTGTTCTCTTCTTCTTCTTTCAACGGGCGTTTCCGCAACTCGACATCCTTATGGCGCCTGTTTTGCGTATAGCCGGAATCACTCCAGCCAGCCCAGCTCCATCAGGAACGCCCCCAGGGCCTTCACATTGGTGACTGCCTCTTAGAGGTTTGGTGAGCCGAGGTATTTCGCCCGGTATTCGGCCACTCCGTTGCATTCCAGCAGAACGTGAGTAGCTGTTTCTTCTGCCTCCATGTATCCTCTGCATAGAGG